ATGTTGAAAGGTTTCAGGCGAATACTTTCGCAAGGCACTGTATATAGAAGCTCAAGACAAACGATTCTTACAATAATGCACTAGAAACATATTTGTGGTGGTTGGATGCAATATCACTGCAGATTAGTGGTTTGTGTCTGGGTTCTCCCACAGTGAGATTGGGTTCACAATAACAACTTGTTTTTTATAGCATTAAAATAACCTGGAATTTAATAAAACAAGATTACATTTATATTGCCAAACTGTGTGAAGTCCCAAGCATGGACAAAGTACCTGAGCTATCTATACACAAAAAGTACTGTAAATAATAAAGCCTTGAATAAAGTAGTTTTTATCATTTTTTAATATATATTTGGACTGTCCTAACACAAGATTAACAAATAGGACAAACTGTATAGTTTCTTTTCCAGTGATGTTGCTATTTATTTCTTATTCTGGAGGACATTATTTTAAAAACAAGAAATGTCCGCTTGTCCTACTGCCAAAGACTGTCAAAATGAATTCAAATACAGATGGTTTTTGCTATATTCTACAGCCATTTCTAACTTATTTGTTATTTGTCACTTTTTGCCACATACTTACCTCTGAGTTTGAAGTTTCACTACGTCTATATGGCCAAGTAGGTTAATGGCCAATTGAACTTCTGCATGACGGTTGGTGAATGGCAACATCCAAACTCAGCGGCTGCGTCTGCTGCTCGCCCGTTGACTGTAACTGTGTAAATCCCCTACAGACCAGTCTGGATCCTGGGCTGGCTCTGCTCAAGCATTAAAGCCCTCCTCATTGGTTTTGAATGGTACTGAATATTAATGTATGTGACCCAGAGCTACGGTGCGTATCGGGAAGTCGTGGCTTGTGAGGCTGCAAAGTTCAAATGGAAAAAAAGCAGTCCGTGGAAAGAGAAGAGTACAGCGAGAAATGGCAGGCAGTGATAACCTGCGCAAAAATTGCAGAGGAGGAAGGTTAAAACTGGACAAAGATGAATTATTCAGGCTGAAGTTGAGGCTCGACCACTAAATTATCTTGAGCAACAAAGGATTGGCTTGTATTCGGAATCCTCATTTTCTTTCGTTTTTATTCTGTTAGTTTACAGGGGTGAGATTTTTTCAAACACTACGTCCAAAAACGAATTGTACAGGATTCAACTTTTAATTACCTTTCCAATTAAAAGTTGTGTTTTTGATGTGCTAAGTGTGATCCTTTGAAACCATCACTTAGAGATTATCTGATGTTTTTCCCATGTAACTGAGCAGCAAAAAATAATAGAACAAAACAACATAAGGGGTGTGAAGGTGTTTTTGGGAATAGTGTGAAATCACAAGTAGTTTGACAGAAAATTGTCAAGAAAAAAGAAGGAAAACACACACACACACACACACACATACACTTTATACATAATGAGCAAATAGCCAAATACTGAGAGAAGATATTTACATAAATGGAAAAATTATGAAAAAATAAAGACAAATCTGCACAGCTATGTAGCTCTAGCCTGGTCGTACCACACCATCGTACAAATGACAGGCACATGCAGGGAAATGATAATTGACCGGAGTTTAAGGCCAGGCTAATGCACTTCCCAAGTGTCTTTTATGTACAGAACGTGATAGTGACGTTTTGGACAAAGGCCCTACATCAGACCTTTTCACATTCTTTGTTTCAAGCCAAAATGATACCAGTATTAAAACTGAACCAATGCGGAGTTTGCGCCATAACATTGAGAGATGGGTCAAAGCTAATCTAATACTTGAGAGAAACAGTACGTCTGCATATCTCAAACTCAATTGAATCCAGTGAAAATGATGCCGATATATCATATGCGACGCAAATGACACAAATCTTTATTTTATTCAGTCAATTACACTCTGGCATCACTCTGCTGCTCCGTTCTAAACTGCGAGCCTGAGGAGAATCTGTGGGATAATGAAACCTCCTCCACTGTCTGGTCCCGTCTAATCAAGTGTAGGTGAACTGCTCCTGACTCCACACACGCACTGGACAAAGGGAGATTACAAGGGCTTCTCCGCTGCTGTCACATCTGTCTCAATGATGGATGGACGTCAACAGCAGCAGCCGCCACTATCCTGGATGAAAACGCCCCAAAGGGAGTCTTATCATTCTGCAAGGAGGAATCAATAATCTATTAGTGTTACTGTATGAGTGCAGAGCGGAACAATAAGCATCATCTTTCTGTATTTATTCAACAATAATATTATAGTGTTGTTGTTGTCTTTGCCCCGCTCAAACCAAAAGAAGAACTCAAAGAAATACTGACCTAAGATTGTTCACTGGTGACACTCTCCTTGGCACAATGCATACGTTTTGTCAATAAATGTTATAATGTATGAGACAGTGAGGGCTTCCATCTCGTAGAACCGTGTTATGCAACTTGGGATCATTTTACAAGTCAGGCTATGGAGTCTACAAGGAGTCATGTAAGTTCTGTGAATGAAGCTCAAATGTGTCTGTAGATGGTCGGTTAGAAAAGCAAAGTGCAGTGTCCCATATAAAAGTGGCCATAGCTGCATGTGAAAGCCAGATCCTACAGACCTCTGAAGCTAAGCAGGGCAGGGCAGGTACTGTGATGGGAGACCTCTGGGAACACCAGGTGCTACAGTAGGGCAACTGCGGCTGTAAAGTGCCAAACAGTTGTTGTGTCCCTAGGCAAGACACCAACCCACATGCCTAGAATGTGTCTTGTGTGTGTGAATGACTGGTGGTGGCTGGTTGCCTCGCTGCTGTCAGTGTGCCCCAGGGCAACTTTGCCTACAGTAGTAGTTTATCACCATCGTGTATGGAGTGAATGAATAATGAAATGTGAAGCGTCTTTGAGTGTCCAAAAAGCGCTATATAAAACCAATGCATTATTATTATTATTATTATTATTATTATTATAAAACTGTGTACCAGTCAGATTTCCACAGGTAGATTTGAAATATTCTCCATTTCAGATCTAAGTGCAGTGGCGTATGTGTGTTCCAAAATATGAAACATCATCTATGTTATAGATATTATAGATGACATCGGTAAATACACCATCCACAAACTCCAACAAGAGATGTGGCTGTAAAGGGGACTGCCAAGGTTTGTTTTTATGGTGTTTCATAATTGCACGGAAAGAATGAAGGATGAACGCTGTGAATTCAACTGGATTCAGATTAATGAAAGCTCGCTGTCACCAAACATGGAAACGAATGCCTCTCTCATATTTACCTTGAGATGGCGTAACAAGACTCCTGCTAAAAAAAATGAATTCCAACCTTTCTACCTTTTATTGTGCTATTATATGTATATTATATTTTTAGAATCAGAAGTGCAATACCAAAGAATCAGCAGTGCAATACGATAGAATCAGCAGCGCAGTACCATAGAATAAGGAGATGAAGGGCTATTGCCTTATCTAAAGATCACCGAGCCACATCAACTGAAATATATGTAAGTAAGTAAGTAAGTCATGTTTATTTACATAGCACCTTTCACAGACCAGAGTTACAAAGCACTTTACAATGTGGGCATTTGTCGCTCACTCCAGAGAGCAGGGTCGCCAGTACAGGAGGCCCATGCCAGACCTATTGGAAATATCAAACCAAGCACGGCGAGGAAGGTGTTCAACAAAATGGGACATAATTTAAAGTCTGAAAGTGACAGTTCGTCTGCAGTTCGGTTACATTGCACTGTGGACAGTTTAGGCGTGGCCATTTCCCCCTCTAGATACAGTTTGCCCCAATAGCGAGACGGTGGTGGACGTGGATCATAAAACTGTGAAAAAGTATGCAGTGTAATATGTTTATTTTAACTATTGAAAGAGATGAATAATGATAAATTGGTTGAAAAGGTCAAGTTTATGTTATGGTCATCGGCAACATTCAGTCAGTAGCAGAAAATACAGTACATGAAGTATTTTTAGCTTTTGTAACTAAAAGTGGGGCAGAATTTTTTTGTTCCTACATCCACCTCCTTATGGCGTGGTATTCATCGAGTTACATTATTAAATTACAACGCTTTGTATTGCTCTAAATCTCTTGGGGGGAATCTAACATGGAACTCAAACTGCAGTTAATGCGCTTATACTGTAGGTCATCGCTTTAGCCCTGTGACATTTTAGACAATACAACAACAAAAAATCTATAGAGACAAGATGTTGGCATTTCCTCGATAAAGTGGACCTTTAAATGAGGGCAAATGGAGGGATTCTCTGTGGGCGTGATACGTGGATATTGAAAGAAAAATACACATTCAGTCTTTAGTTTTGCATTCTACAGTCAAAAAAAAAAACACTTGAAACTGAGAATATGCCCAAAGGGTGAGAGTCACAGGGCACGACACCTCTGAGAACTGCTGAGGTGATAAGAACTTTGTCCTTTTCAAAGTTCCCCACCAGATGAATGGCATAGAATACAGGTGCCAGGAAAACCAAAGTAGGCTATAGAATAATAGACTATACTGAAGTGAAACTGGCTGGTGTAATAACATGCATTTTCTGCTTTCGTTTTGAACAATTACATTTTAAGACCTCATACATTTAACAATAGGAAACGTATAGTAAGAAGGTAAGAGCTTAATGGTGCCTGACTGAAAAGGTTTTAGGTTGGAGTCAATACTTATACTGCCTATCACCTGCTGTCCCGTTTTAAAGTCACAATTTTCTTTTACCACTCACCAAAAATATATATATACATAAAGAATGCAAACAGATACACTTTTGGGCAATGTGACGCGATTTGACACTTCTTCATAATGCTAAAGTTGGAGATTTTAGATTAGCTTCCTCCTTGTTTTTTTTTTTTGTTTTTTTTAGTATAGAGTTATTGCTCATTTATCTTGTCTTGTATGCTCCTCATTCCTACTGTTCTGTACCCGATGATGCAACACTGACATTTCCCGATGTGGGACGAATAAAGGATATTTTAATCTAAATCTATTATAGTAAATAATTTGGACGCGCGCTGCTTTCCCACAAACACTGACAGATGCGTGCGTAAAGCAGCTGTTGCGCTTACCGATCCGAAGGACTTGAGACGCGCACAGCCAGAGATGCCCGGTCAGCAGCAGGCAGGTGAATAAAAGTCTGCCTCTGGTCTCCATGTTGGTGCGAAAGATCTCAGCACGAGTGTCCACAGCATGACACGGGGAGACGCGCAAACGTGTCCATGCACAGGACCATTCCAGACAGCACACGCCAAAACGTGTTTGCAGCACTTGGCATATCACTCCATCTCATCAACGAGAAACGATTGAATGAATCCGAGAAAGAAATGTGCAAAATCCTGACAAAAAGAAGAAAGTTTTTGTTCATGCGTAAATCCACTCTTGAACTGTGCGTAATGCAGGTCAATGACAGTTAACTGCTCCACTCAGAATCCGCGCATCCCAGGAGCAGAGAGAGAGAGAGAGAGAGAGAGAGAAAGAGAGCGAGAGAGAGAGAGAGAGAGAGAGAGAAAGAGAGCGAGCGAGAGAGAGAGAGAGAGAGAGAGAGAGAGAGAGAGAGCGAGAGAGAGAGAGAGAGAGAGAGAGAGAGAGAGAGAGAGAGAGAGAGAGAGAGAGAGAGAGAGGGGGGGGGGGGGGATACGGATGATAAAATGTACTGTGTTTCCGCTTCTGTGTGTCAAAATAAAACTGGGTTCTTATGTCATTTACCAGTCTTAAAGTAATTGCTGTAAATTCAAACCTACAGATTTTATGTATTTAAGAAGCTTTAGATATTAAAACAGTTATGGTTCTAAATACTGCGTGAGTATTTGTAATTTTAGATCTACTGTTACTTTGAATCAAATCACTGTGCACACTCTTTTTAGTGCATTGTGATTAGTTTTGTTCTATCTGACTGTGTAACTTGAATGCTCGCCTCTCTTGTTTTGCAAAGCACTTTGAGTTGTGCTATAATACACTTGCCTTGAGTAAGGCTCGTGTTTGGAAAAAATAACTTTTCCCATTTTACAAATATGTATTGGCCACATTTTTGTCAAATTCAAAGCTCAATTTTGCATTTAGCACTTGCTGCAAAATGACAAATTCTCATGATTAAACCTAACTTTATTTTTGCAATCCATACTGTCAACAAGCAGAAGAGATTTTAAAGCAGCAACTTGTAACTTTTCTAATGGGGTCCACTACCTGCCTGTTGCCATGGCGTTATTGCTTGGCTTGGAATTGCTGCATGGCATAAACATGTAAATTATGTATTTAAATTGAAGACATTTTATGACTCAAACACCCTTACCTTCATGGGCTTACCTCTCTAGGAAAAAGACCTATACTTAGAAAGGTGATGAAACTTGCTTCTATCCAACAGTTTCATATCATGGAACATTCACCTTGGAACATTCTAGGCAAAAAAAGGCATTTATATGGACCCAATGAATCTACAGACCTCCCACAAGAATGTTTTGATACATTTTAAGCTTCATGTAAAGATTCTTTTCATTTATTTTCCCAATAATGTTAAGAAAATTCAGTTTGATTTTGTCCCACAAAATTACTCTCTGGCTGTATTGTTGGGGTTTGGCTTTTACACTGAAAAATAGAGCTGCTCCATTTCTGGCTCTTGGCAGCGTTTGAGCCGTGGATTATGGGCAGATGGATTGGCAGCACAGGTCCAGATGAGGAGAATAATCTTCAGGTTACAGGACAGAACGACAGTATATCTCCCTCAGCAGACACCGAATCCAGTTCTTCAAAACTAGAAATAAATGCAGGACTGGGCCATGTTTAAAAGATCACCCCAACTTCAATCATTCTCCAAACACCCTCGAGTAATTCATCAAAAATCAGTCTGCAATTTAGTTTGACATTTGGAGAGGCCGTCGTCGGAACTGGCCTTTGGTTTATCACAAAATCAATTAATTGAATTGGGGACTGAAATGAGGATCCCACCTTCAGCAAAAACACTAAATTGGGCTCAAGATCAAGAAACAGACGTACTGTAGACTACTTACATAGCGGTACATACCCTTTAATGTAATTGCAAAGAATTAAACAGTAAATATAAAAAGAGATTTTGTGCTCCTTGGCATTTCAAGTGGATGCAGGAAATGCAATCATCAGGTAACACCCAAGGGCCCCTTTGGCAAACTTCGCTTCGGGCCCTTTGAACACCGCTGCCATACTAAGCATTTGTTTAGTATTCATATCTAAAGTTTAAACACAAATTAATATACTAAAGAAGATCTGTACTTCTTAATACAGTGCAAGAGAAGCACAAACATGAAAGTGAGTTTATAAAATGTATTTATTTCGTTGACGTAAAAATGACACTCCACAGCAGTTGTACGAACAGTTTTTTTCAAAGTACAAAAGGTCAAATTTCTCACAGGATATTGTCTTAATAACGGAGATTGTACCTCACAGTCTGGGTCATGAGCGAGGAAGCTAAAATCTAACAGTTTTCAATATCACAACAATGTTCCTCCAAAATAGATTTCTTATGACGTGAATCCATCCACACAGAGTCCCTCTCAGAGCTGGACAATAAGTGCTGTTGGAACAATCCATTAAGGTGCAAGGCAGTGCGCGTGTGGTGACAGTGAAACAGCGCTGCCTGGTGGACACAAGGGGGAACGCATGAGATATAAGTTCCTGAAAAGTTGTAACTGATATGGAGGCGTTTTAAGGATTACGGGTAAACTGCATGATTTTCATTTCCATCTACTGTCTCTAGCATGGCTCTGGTCAAAAAAAAATTCAAGTAAAACAGGATCGTGAGAGATGGGTAATCATAGCGGCAATCAGAATAAAGACGACGACAAGTAGAACAATGAGAAGATGGTAACACAAAATGGACACTAGACATTCATGTGACACAACCTCATCCTTCTTAAAGCAACACCGTGTAACTTTGTCATTTACTTTTTTATAAAAGCAATTTAAAAAAAAAGATACAATTAAAAACATTAAAGCTGGGGTACCTAACTTTCATTGATATTTTGTCCCAGCAAGAAGTAAAATGTGGTGAGCAACTCACACCACAACATGCAATATTTATCGAATTAAAAAATATCTTATCTTTTGTACTTCTTGTAAGAGCCATGCATACGCTTTGGGCCGAGAGCTGATTGGCTGAATGAGGGTGGTCCTCTCTTCTATATGAAAAAAGTGGCTTAAAATGTGCATGTATTTAAAAACTAGTGCTAGAACTAGTTTTGACAGAAAGGAACACTCAGTTGTTACATTGTTTTGCTAGGTACCCCAGCTTTAAAGTATATGTTAGTTTGGGTTGACTTCCCACTTTCAAATTGTGATACCTTGGGCAAGAAATTCTGCCCATATGAAAGAGTTGTAACCATTACAGATTACATTTGGCCATATACTGTGAAGTTACCAGAAAACTTCCAAGAATATGTGCAATAAAAAATAAAAATCATTAAATAATAATTCATAGTTGTTACGCAGTTTTGCTTTAAGACTTATGGCAACATTTAGTTTATTAACAGTTTTTAACACTGGGAATCTCATCATCATCAAGTGTAAAAATACAGTAAAAAGGCGTATATTAAATAGGTAAGACTATATACTGTCCAAACTATAATATTAAAAAGGTATTCTAGGAGACAAAGTGAATGGCAACACATTTTATACACAAGGTTAACGGCGTCGCTATTATCCTCCTGTCTATACACGGCAACGCGCGGCCAATATGAAGTTAACACGATTAAAGCACGATAAAGCTAGTTGGATTTCACCATCTGCTGCAGAGTGGTGCCGAGCCAGACGCCCCTGATGAGAAAGTCACTAACACAGCCCTTGAGTTTTTCCCGATACAAGTTTCCGAGTCCAAAAAATAAAAACAGCCACCATTTTGCGTGGAAAAATATACATCTTTTGGCCGGAATTTTGTGGTTGACGCGCTCAGGTGCTTTCATTTCTGTATGTGCACTTTGTGTTGGTGTAAACATGCGCACATGGTGTCACATACACTTAACTCCCATGCTATGCTTGTAACAAAAGTGTTTTCAGACTGGTCCCAAAAAAACATAGGCTATTCTTGACTCCGATAATTTGGGATTGTCAGGCCAAGGATGCAAAAAAAAAAAAGAAAAAATGAATGCACTGCAAAAAGTGATGAAAAATGAGTCAAAAATTGCAAACAAAAATGGTAAAATGTATCTTAATTTGAGCACATTTTGACTGCCTTAAAATCAAAATGTTCCAATGGGACAGGCAAAATATTCTTGTTTTAAAAAGATACAAGAAATGTTTCGCTTGGAATGAGAAAATTAAGCAGCAGTTCTTGAAATGGCTTTGTCCCATCGGCAAATCTTGTTTAAAGACAGTCAGAATGTACTTGAATTAAGATGAAAACTTCTTGATTTAAGCAATTATTACCTCATATCTTATAATTTTTTGCAGTGTGGGAAAGAATGGCCCAAGTCTTTTCCAGTTTAAATGTAAAGCTTTTCTCTCTTGGTAAAACAACAGTCCGCCCTCAGGTTTTAGAAGACGTCGCCGTTACAGCGGTCATCTCTCCTCACCCAAACTATTTTATGGTCCATATTGGCGGCCTCTTCCACAGCGCACTGCTTCAACGGCGCGACCTTCAACACGGGGGCTGCGTTTGAAGAGTTCAGTTGTCCGGCCTCGTTGAGTTTCATCTTGATGTCGAGTTCATCCATTTTGTCCTCCAGCTCCGTGGGCTCCGCAGACGCCGCCCTCACAGACTTGCAGTACTCGTCGTCGTCGCTCAGAATGTCCGTTTCTTTGACTTGAGCGATCGCGGCGTCTCCTTGCGCGACGTAGGACCCCAGGTTGAATTGCTCCTCCACCCATCGGTCCGTGTCCTCCCCCTGAGGAGCGGGGGGCTGGAGGAGTGCATGCTGGGATGGCGTGGAGCAGGATGAGGCGGGCAGCAAGAGGGACGGGTCGGGATCTTGGCCGTTGTTGTTGCCGTGGAAAATCAGGTCCGTGTCGATGGTGAAGCGGTTTCTCACAAGCTTTCTGTGGCCAAGAGGTCGAGATGGAGCAGAGACTGAAAAACACATTGGGGGGAGATATTATTATAAAGATATATTTTACACTTTTTTGACTCCAATTAAAGAGTAAAAATTGCTCTTCCTGACATTGTGAAGAAGAATTCACCAGGATTGTTAGCCCACCAGAGAGAACGTGAGCTGGGTTTAGAGCATTGTGAGCCAATATTGAGACAGGTTAGTTGTACCCTACTGATGATGTGTTGTTGCAAAAGTAATCCTGCGCAGTAGTTAGCACTTGTGCTTCGCAGCAAGAAGGTCCTGGGTTCAATTCCACCTCTAGGCCTTTCTGTGTGGAGTTTGCATATTCTCCCCGTGTCTGTGAAAGTTTCCTCCGGGTGCTCTCGTTTCCCTACCACTAAAATGTTAGTAGTAATATTATATGGGGGTACAATATTCCCCCATAATACCCTCCTCACCCCTCTCCAAGACTCTGCAATCTCACTGGGACTTTTCCTGATTATTATTAATATCACAAACAAAATTAGATCTGGTTTATTGTACATATATTTGCATATGCTGCATCAGCTGGGGTATGATACTATTGTTTTTGTCCTTATTCATTATTAATCAGCAGTCAATCCATTAAAACTCATTGTGTGCCAGGTGAGAGATGATTCCTTGCAATCAAGAAAAACACCGAAACTGCCACAACAATTAGAAATAATGGTAACAGCTATTATCCTGTAATATTCTGATTGCCTGGTTTCTGTTTCTAATACAAAAGATAACAAAGGCAAACAAATTAAACTTAATTAGGAACAGTTAAATGAAAGAAACCAATTAAACGGACTCAACTAATGTTGGAAAATAGCAAAAAATCTTCCTGTTGCCAAGACAATCCACAGACAATTACCAATCCCCAATATTCTCCCATGTATCACTTATTGAACCAGGTTAAATTCCTCTTTTCCATGGTTTTACCTGCTCGGTTCATGGCAGGCCGGGCACCTTTGAGGGCACAGAGGCGTTTTCCTCCAAATGGAACGTACTGCTGGTTCAGAGGCAGTGACTCAGTTTTGAGAAGCTGCCGCCGCTGTTTTTCCCGGATTATGGAGTGAACCGCTTTCAGGAAGTCCTTCTTACTCTCTGGAGATCTGCAGCATGAAACAAGATTTATAAAAGATCATCTTGGAAAGTTCCGATTTCACACTAAAGCTGGTCATTTGTGGGAAGGATGTCAGTGCTTATCTACAAAGGTGTATCCTGGTTGTACTTGGTAATGGGGCTTTTTGTTAAACTCTTCTACACATAAATAGGACGTTGACTTGTTACAAAACCCAGTATTTACAGGTTGACGTCAGATGTGCATACCGGCAGCAGAGTTGAAAAGTCGTCTCTGGTCTTCCTTCCGATTCTGACCTGGTGTGGACAATTTCACACGTGGCTGTGCCCTCGGAGTCTGAAGAGAAAAATACAGTCTGCATCAGTGGATCACATTTGCCTTGTTACATGAGTAGGGATAGGATATAAATAAATTTTTCTGATTTCAGCCAGTTTTTTCTCTAGACTTTAGGATGAATCCCTACTAGGTCTTGTTTCCACAATCCATCTCTGCTAATTACATACATTTGTAATTATTATGTAGCACATTTTACAAATTAAAGCAATCCCCACCTACATTCCTTTAAGTTAAGTCTCAAAATCACCCAAAAACCTATTTTCAAATACTGATCAATTTCACCTTCTAAAAAGTCCAAAACTATTCCAAGTATATCCTATTAGGGCTCGAGTAGCCCAAGAAAACCTGTAGTTGGAAAAATGTATCTGCACTTCCAAAACTTATAACAAGCAGCCCTCATTCATAACTGGAGGAGGGGGTTGACTAAGGACGTTATGAGGCAGAAAGAAAGTGGGAGCGAGAAATTATGTTTATTGCTGCATTAGAGCGGCCAGATGTTCCAATCAATGAGCACACAACCCTAAAAACAAACGATTTGCTCTGAGTGTGATTAGATGGGATATTGTTGCCTTGTTATCTAGAGACTGGCTCGATGAACACAGTATTTGCATAACAGACTAGAGCTGGAAATAAACTTGACTTACTTGCAGGAACACGGACTTGCAAAGTGTCTGTTGAGATCATGTGACGGAATCGGAAAGAATCCTTGTCCTCGCTGACGGAGACTCGGTGAGATGTGCCCTGGAAATGAAGCAGAGGAGAGAGTTTTTGATTAGTCTTCAGTTGGGCTTGAAAGTTTACACCCTGAGGAAAGAAATATACATGATATGACCAAATTTCAGAATTACACATTTCTTTCACTCATTGTTAGTGGTTGCATGAAGCCATTGCCAAATAAACGTGTTTTCTATATTCAAACTATAAGGACAACAGAAACTGAGATTAGAAGTTTCCATCTTGCAGTTCAATTGAGTGTGCCCCACCAACACCAAGGACAGTTTTGACAGATGATTTGATGTTGAAATTTGTGGATATAAAAAAATCCTTTGACCAAACATAGCTTAACACAACCCCCAACAATGAGTGAGAAACGTTTTTTCATTCATAATCTCTAAATTATGGCCATATTGTGATCTCTTCTCTGTGCATTCTATGGTTGTGATTCATGAATGAGACAGCAGAGGGCACTGCAGTCGAACAATGGTGCTCTCACTGAATCGCATGTGAAGTACAAATGTTATTCTATAGTTTTATGGTATTGACTTACAATTTTCTTCCTGTGCTTGGATGAGTCCTTGTACACAAATACAATAGCAGTCTTGAAAACTGCAAGAAAGAAAAACACATACAAGTTATAAAATGCACTATGTACACAAGTACTTTGTGTTGAGCGTACAATAAATTCAGTCATACTGCACAATTCACCTTTAGGGATGGCTAGAGATACCAAATAAAAACACTCGAGAGCAGCCATAAAAGATGAATAGAAAGTAACTATCATATATTTTAACACACCGTTGCGTTACTGGCCCTGCGCCTCTTGCTTTATGTTACAATTATTTCTTGCAGGATGACAGCACATTAATCACATCTACATTTATAGCAGGAAAAAGAAAAATAGTATAAAAAGTATGGGGTGCAGACATCACACTAGTGTTGTAATAAAGCTTATCCGAACACTCTGCTTGAGAAATGTAATTTGTACTGTGGTGTGGTATGACCAGGCTACAGGTATGACCAGGCTAAAGGTCGGCTCCAGCCGACCTTTAGCCCCGCCTCCATGGAGTTTCTGCGGGCAGGTCGGTCTGGCATTCCTCAATGGAAAAAGTATTATGCCCGGTACGATACATACCGGGCCAGTCAGAGTGACAGGGCGGGCTTCATGTGATGGTTGACAGGTGAGCAACAGTAACGTCAGCATCTATGTCTATCTTTGTCCATGATTTGAACACGGGAATGTCGCGTTCCAGTCTTGTAATCAGGTTGTGACAGGACCGACAAATGCGCGTAGATTTCTCTGATGTCTTGTGAAGTTGTAATCCTAAATGGAGGACTTGTTCGTATATGGATTTACCTTTTTTATTTCTCTCAAAAATTAGTAACGTGTTGCTAAATACTCCGCGTATCTTCAAGTTCTTTTTGCAACACCGGCACAAGTCGTTTGCACTCATTTTACAGGCAGCATGCGAGAAGGTAAACAATAATGACGTCGCATAAATACGTCACACCTCGCTCTCATTGGTTGTTGGACTATCCAATAGTACGAAGGGGGATTGTGTTTCCTGTTTCAGTTCGAACACGCCCCCCATAATACTTTTTCCATTGAGGAATGCCAGACCGACCTGCCCGCAGAAACTCCATGGAGGCGGGGCTAAAGGTCGGCTGGAGCCAGGCTAAGATATACCCACTTTGGAGAAAAAAACAAAAACCTCAGCTTATCAGTTCCTAGTATGCAAAAGAATATTTTCTCATGAAAGAAACACCATGACTTTTGGTTATACAAACTATATATGCATGAATAAAAACTGTTATGTATTCCAGCTTTAAGTAGAGAATGGCTCTATTTTGACTAAGCAGGAATCTGGCCCATAATCCGCACCACGTTGTCTACACAGGTTTTGTGTTCTATATTGTGGCAGATTAACATGGTTGTCATGTGTCCGTCTAAAATCCCTTCGATCGGGCAGGATTGTCAGTTACATAACTACACGGCCACGCAGCAGCTTTGAGTCATGATTTACCAATATGCATTTTCAAATGGAGCACAGACGACGCTGCCAAAACCTGACCTTTTACGGACAAATACATGGTGTAATAATATAGAGTTAGATACAAATAAGATCATAAACACATCATGAATCTATAAAGTAATTTTGCATTAAAAGAAGCAAATAGTGAATCAAATAGTGGAGAAAATAAAGCACATGTTTTGTTAACTTAACCTACTACTTTAGGAATGGATTAGCCCTATTCTAAGCCCGTTTCAACCACAATCTTGACCCAGAAATCCTGTTTCAGAAAAGATTTAGAAAACCAGATTTGTTGATAATGCGAAAGATTATCAATATCTCCGGTGGTGAAAAGTTCGGAAATCTTATTTGTTCTGGATCAATTTGTCTCTGGTTTGCCAAAATCGCTTATATGAATTAAAACAGAAGACAATAAGATGGCGACACGATGAATAGAGTATGCTGGTCTGCAGTTTCAACATGCAGCCAAGCGCCAAAGTATTCCTTTTTCTATATGTCCATTATAGACTTAAAATGACTTGACCCTGAGAACGACTGAGATAATCTATACCCTATAAGGACATGTATGAACATTGGTCATTCACCCCCTATGCACCAATGACTCCTAGGAGTTTGTTATTATTGACTTTTCTGCGTTTGTACCATTTGATTATCTCATCTGTTTAGAAATCTTCAGATTAGTTTTTCATCAAAGCTAAAATCTATTAGGATTAGGACAGGTGCAGGACATTATCCAAACACAGTATATTCATCACTGCTGGCTCGGGGTTAAACGTTAAGATCCCAAACAGATACATGTGATCCGTGTTGTGACGGCTGTTACCGAAAGCAGCGAGCTCAGGGTCCTTTTTGCTCTTGACCAAAGACGACGGAGCATTGATCCAGTTCACAATAGAGTGCAGCAGCAGATCCCCCATCGAGAGGTCAGGCACCTGGTTTCAAACACAATGACATCAATACTCGACATGAGAAGAGGGAATGAAGGAGGACTTATAAAACATCTCTTATTTGCGCTCACCTCTTTCTTGTTGGCCGTCTGTTCGCTGATGAGCTGATCGAACACCGCTCCGTACTCCTCGTGGAGCTTCTGCATTTCGTTGATGTGACTCGCCACTTTGTTCATGGCTTTCATTGCAACTGAGGAGAAAATGAAGGAGAATATTTGAATACAAAGTGGAAAGAAATACATTATTATTATGTTGCCAGTGTTTGTTATTAAAGTCTATTAACAGGTACGGCTGTCAAAAGATAAGTAAGTAAGTAAGTAAGTAATCTTTATTTATATACCGCCTTTCACAGACCAGAGTCACAAAGCGGTTTACAATTGTTATTATTTTTGGGCATTGGTCCACTCACTCCACACAGAGATGGGAGCGGGGTCGCCAGTACAGGAGGCGCATGCCAGACCTATTGTGCATGATTTTAGTGGTAGGGGAAACCGGAGTACCCGGAGGAAACCTACGCAGACACGGGGAGAACATGCAAACTCCACTCAGAAAGGCCCTGGTCCGGCCGGGATTCGAACCCAGGACCTTCTTGCTGAGAGGCGAGAGTGCTATCCACTCAGCCACCGTGCCGCCCAAAGATACTAAATAAGGGCATTTCATAACCATTTCTTGAAATTGTATAAAACCGTATGGCTCCATAAAGAGTATTACTACAAAATGTTAGTTCATTGCCCAAAAATAATTCTTAAATAATAAACAGAGGTATCAAAATTGGGAATTTTTCCAGATTAGTATGAAATTTAGCACACTAACAACAGTATAGCAGGTGATTTAGAGTTTATAGAATTCAGTTAATGGTTACACACAAAAAAAAAACAATTTCATAAAGCGTGGCAGCTGTAGTGAGATTCAAAAGATTTGTTAGTTTGAAATGTTAAAAAGCAGCAGTACCATCCAGGTGGTAGTGCTCCTCGCTGTCCGGGTCGGTCAGACAGTACAGCTCCCTCAGCAGCAGGGGGTACTTCAGGACCCTCTGGATGGGTTTGATGAGATACGACTCCAGAGTGGACGAATGCTGCTGTCGGGGGTTTCTCTCAGCCAGGAACGCCTTGAAATCTGGATCCGTTTTTGCTGAGAGAGAAAATATCCTTTGTCAAATTAGTGTATAGAGAGAGATAACTTGACTTACTTTGAATTGCATGTGGCTATAATTTTATAATTATTTTTTTTTCTGACCATTGTTTTTGCTAGTTTATATACAAACTACGGTCCAACTTTGTGTCCAACTACAGTCATTGACCTGTTAATTTAAACAGAAAGGAGGCAGCTCTTTTTATCATGTGCATTAAGCAACTTTTAGTATTCCTTCCTCAAGAGGAGGAGTTCAAGTATCTCGGGGTCTTGTTCACGAGTGAGGGAAGAATGGAGCGTGAGATTGACAGGCGGATCGGTGCAGCGTGCGCAGTTATGCGGTCTCTGTATCGGACCGTTGTGGTGAAGAGGGAGCTGAGCCGAAAGGCAAAGCTCTCGATTTACCGGTCAATCTTCGTTCCCTCCCTCACCTATGGTCATGAGCTTTGGGTAATGACCGAAAGAACGAGATCGCGGATACAAGCGGTCGAAATGAGCTTCCTCCGCAGAGTGGCTGAGGCGCTCCCTTAGAGATAGGGTGAGGAGCTCAGTCACATGGGAGGAGCTCGGAGTAGAGCCGCTGCTTCTCCACGTCAAGAGGAACCAGTTGAGGTGGCTCGGGCATCTGTTCCGGATGCCTCCTGGACGCCTTCCTTGGGAGGTGTTCCGGGCACGTCCCACCGGGAGGAGGCCCCGCGGAAGACCCAGGACACGCTGGAGGGACTATGTCTCTCAGCTGGCCTGGGAACACCTTGGGGTCCCCCCGGACGAGCTGGAGGAAGTGTGTGTGGATAGGGAAGTCTGGGCGTCTCTGCTTAGACTGCTGCCCCCGCGACCCGGCAACGGATAAAGCGGAAGAAAATGGATGGATGGATGAACTTTTTTGATAATGACTGAACTGGGGCAGGAATATATGTATATTAAGAGTCAGACCTAAACATGGGTAGGCTGCTTTTCAGATTCATGCTGCTAAAATCTGGAACAGTCTTCCTGAAGATGTGAGACAGGCCTCCTCTGTGACAATGTTTAAAACCAGGTTAAAAACAGTTCTGTTTAGCTGTGCAAACAACTGAGGGATTTTATGTTTTTATCTTTCTTTTTAATGTTCTGTGATTATTTATGATTTTAATGCTATCTTGTTCAGCACTTTGAGTTGCCTTGTGTATAAATTGTGCTATACAAATAAACTTGCCTTGCCCTGCCTTAAAAAGAATAATATTTTTGTTGATTAAAAATTATGAGAAAATGTACATATAAATACATTGTAGAATTCGAAAGGATATCTGAAGTAGAAAATAAATGACAAAAAAAACAAGCCATGTTAAAGCCCTGTAAATAAGGTAATTATCTTTCGAAAATGACTAAAACTAATAGTGGTATAATTACATCATACTATTACAGGATTGAGCTTTTAAATGAGGGGTGGAGATACACTTTCCTGCCATAAATTCTTGGCGTTAGCGTGGATGGATCTAAAAACCCTCTTTCATAATAAGTTTCATTTAAAGTGGAAGAATATTATGAGACTAGACCGAGGATGTCTGATCAGATCTCAACTTTGGAAAACAAGACCGCTTCAACAACAATCCTACAATTCTCCGACATATACAACTCTTGAGTTATCAGGCACCGTCCCTTTAACCTTACATCACATCTAGAAAATATTGTCAAGATATAATAAAGTTTCCCGCGTTTCCGTTTTACCTTTGGCCAGGACTTTGGGCACCTTGGTGTGGCTGGCACAGAACGCACTGTAGATCTTGAAGCGATCAGCATAGTACAAGAAAGACCCTCCCAGAGAGAACAGGACTTTCTGAAGAACAAGAGTAAACGTATCAGGAAAGAACAGAACAGTGAATACATTACTAACATGTAAGAGGAGGCCTTAATAGCCTGATTGTCATGCTAAAACTCAATAGAACAACTTGTATTGTGCGCATTGTGCAAGTGACCTAAATGTTTTAGTTCAATGATAGAAATTTGCGTTTGGCTTACATTTGCACACACATGTCAAGACAAGCAGAGACAAATGATTAAAAACATGTTTTAAGTGTTGATTATGGTTTACGATTAGGATTTAAGATTAACATTAAACTAAAACCAACCACAAAATGTACAAATTCATACAGCAAATTCCTAAATGAACAAATGTAACTTTGGCTTTCAGTCTGACCACATACTCTACATCTCCAAAAAGCATTAGTAACAACATGCATTTTTCTATTCATCACTTCTTTTATCGTGTGAAATGCACCTTAAACTGCTCCACTCTTTCCAGACAGTTCAAATCAGGCACCAGTCGTATCCCGTCCTCCAGAGTGCGCAGAAACTCCACCTGGAAATCCACCATCTCCCCGAGGTTTCCGAACAGGACGTCCAACTGCACTCAGGCAGACGGCCACAATCACAATCCATTCAGCTAAATATTATCGTTTCCTATATACAAAATCAAAAAAAAGTACCTCATCTTGTGTTAGGATGCCACCTTTCTGTAGAGGTTTTAAGTAGCAGTCGATGAGGCACCTGAGATCCTTAAGACAAGAATGAGTCGCGTATGAATGAATGAAGTATTACCATAACTGCATCTGACGTCTGCATGTACTGACTTTGACGTAGGCTTTCTCCGTGTCCACCAGCTCGTTGATGACTTTGCGGAGTTTGTCGGCGTGCGTGAGCGGGGCGGCAGACACCGGACTCGGAGACAGGGACGAAGACGATGAAGACGAGGATGAAGCTTCAGCTGTGTTTATGTCGTGCAGACTGCGGCAGAAACCGGTCATCTGCTCCGAGCTCTGGTGAGGGGAGAAAAACCATGGGTATACATTAACCATGTTGCACAATAGATATCTTGAAAACGTATTAAATGAATCTATAGACAGTGAGATGGCTCCTTGAGATGTTTTATATAAGACCGAGAAGGGCTACAGCAACTGGAGTTTCATAACATGCATTTCTTCTGTACAGTGAAGAGTTGACTACAATTGAAACTGAAAACCACAACGAAATGACAGACCGCATTTGCACAATTTGAGTAGATTGTGCAACTTCAAAAAGAAAAGGAAAAAAAACTGCAACATCTGCAGCTAGGAATAGTTTATACAACATACTGTAAATACTAACTACTATAAAAAACATGTTGCCTGACTTGCCTTGGGGTAGGTAATCATGTGTGTTTAGGTCTGTACTCCGTTTAGGTAGAACTTCTAACCCTGCATTTCGCAAATAAATGCTCGAGACTGAATGGAGCATTGGTTTAGCACAACTTTTTTCCCCTTTTTATTTGAAAATAGAGATCCATTCTCAGTACTTTTTCTATTGTTGAAACTAAACATATAGTGCCCAGGCAAAAGAAACAAGCCATACATTGTGAGGGGAATAATGAGGGGTTTAGTCTGTCCCTGCATCAGTTCTTTCTCCAAAACAGAAATGTGAAAATAACCACCTCAGTCCCATGATTGGAGACTCAAAGATAATGCACAGTCAAGAATGAGAAAAGTTGAAATAGCAGTTTATCAAGCCGTCATTGCTTAGCACATTCCTAGTTATAATTGGCTGCTGCTGCCTAATACTGTCGCATAAGGCTTCCATCTTTTAGAATTGATCATCTTGAACGCACTTGAAAATGTAACTGCTTTTTTCCCGTCATACTAAATCACTCAGACTGGAAACTACAGAACACATTCTTGCAATAACAGAACCAGCCGATCTCAAGTGCAGAAAACGTCAAGGAAATACCAAGCAAGAGCAGACCTGCAGCGTTAAGGAGGAACCGACGCTCCCGTTAATGACGGCTCTAAAATTATGCTTCAGAATATGTCACGCTACTTCGGCTATAATTTTCCGTCAATAAAGTAAGCATGAATCATGTTCTAGCTGCATGTGAAGTGAGGAACAAAACAAGTACACATCAGGAGACGATGAGGAAACTAACTGAGCATGTGGCCAGATTTAAGAAATAAAAATGGGTCACCTTCATTGAGGTCAAAATGCATTAATGTTATTTTGCATCATTCCATTAGCTTAAGTTTTCTTTATAATTATTTGCATTACTCATCATCCATCCATCCATTTTCTTCCCCTTAATCCATTTCTGGGTCGGGGAGTGGCAGTCAGAGCTGCACCCAGTACACTCAGCACCAGCCCCCCACTGATCCTCCTGCAGGTGTTGAGTCTACAAGAGTCTTGATTATTCAGCAGGGGTTTCAGGCAAAGTGGGGTTAAGTGTCTTGCCCAATGACACAAAGACTCAGTGGGAGTCATGAGGTAGGTCTTGTGGTGGGCTCAAACCCACGACCTTCAGGCTCTAAGGCCAATGCTCTACCAACTGAGCCACTGTTGCCCCCTAACATTACTCATCAATTGGACAAATATGAATTCAAGCTGGGGTACTTATTTGCATTTAAAAGGAAGTTTAGGCTTGTGAATAAAAGTTAAATTCTAAATGGGAGCTATAGGTTTTTACTGTAATTTTCACATGCATGATTTTTTGTCACATATTTGCAGTATTTTTCAGACAGAAAGGTGATAAAAAGGCCTCTCTTGCTCTGTTGATCAGCTCTCAACCCAAAGTGTCAAATGAGTGACTTACAAGTATTCAAAAAGAATGATTTCTGATGAGCCAAAAATCAATATTTTACTTTACAAGACTTTCTGTGAATAATGGACTTAATATTTTTTCCCAACAGTGTTGCAATTCCTTGTCTACATGGGACACACTACTCACTACTGGGAAGTGTATCTGTGCAGCCACATCATAGATTATGTCAGATAATACCCTGAGATATGTTCCTCCGTTTTCTACTACCCATACAAAATGAACGAAACCCAAATATTTTACGCCATTGCCTTACTGTATTATCTACAGCAGGCGGTGAAGTTATTTAGCTCATGTTGAAACACATTTGGAATCAATAGCAGCACCACCACTTCAATAAATCATGAATCTGTGGCGCCAAGTGTATCCAAACGCACATTACACACTCTGTCCATTTGTTGACACTCAGACTTGAGCAGCTGGAGATTGTCTTTGCTGATTTCACGGCTTCTCAACGCAAATGACAAACAATATTTTCCATTGTGGCATTCAAACCAGTTTAACCACCGCCACCGAGGCAGGTTTACAAAATAGAATATGATTAGATAGATAAAAGCTGCAAGTACTACTCTCTCAGTTTTAAGAAAGGTGTATGAAGTTATGACATGAGTGAAAGAACTGCTTAGTGATGTTAATGGAATATTATACCCAACTTTTTTTTCATAAATAATCCTTGTAGTTTGTCCCAACAGAAGGAAACTTCAAAGTAACATTTTATCTTTTTTAGAAGACAGGTTATCCTTTGCATACCTGTAAGAATATGCCCTGCGAGTCACTAATGACACTTTAGCTGGTCCTCCTTTACACTTTTCTGCCTGAAAAAGCTGATTACAGACGTAAAAAACAAAACAAAAAAAGCATGTGAAAACTACAGGTGATAGAACCAAAGTGTTCCTTGCTCCTTATTATGCTAAAGTTAGGGGTTTTTGCATTTAAGTCTTGCTTCTTCATCATGCTAAAGTTGGAAATTTTAGACTTCTTTCCTTACTATGCTACAGATAGATTTTATACTGCTTTTTATGCTAGAGATTTTATTCCATTTCAGCATAGAGTTATTATTAATTTATCTTGTGCTGTGTGCTCCTCATTCCAACCGTGCTTTAACTTGTGATGCAACTCTGGAATTTCCCCACTGTGGGACGAATAAAGGATCTCTTAATCTTAATGTTGAGAGCTAGATGGATTTTATTACATAGTTAAATTTGTGGGTTGTTTTGCTTAAGTACCTCAGCTTCATTTGATCATTCATCTTGATCCAGTCCTGGTGGTTTTACAAAATAAACAAAGCAATTGCAGTAAATCTTGTATGCAAAAGGAATAGGAAACGCAATTATTGACATCACCGGTCCCTATGATGTAACCCCTCCTCCGTTATCAAAAGACACCTCTGCTGAAAGGCGCTCTACAAAGCTCCAAACGGTGTCATCGTTACACTGCCCTTTTGCACATCCACATCTCAATCTCTCATCAAGTCCAGAGAAACGCGGCTCACCAACTGTAACGCGTCGTAGATGGAGTCAGTCGAGCGCTTGGTAAATCTGCTCCTGCGAAATCCTGACATCTCTATTGGGTCAAAAGAAGGTCAAAAAAAAAATATAGAATTCTCATAAATCCAATTCTTGCGATGCTGATCCTGAACCCATGTCCTCACCACAATATGAAATAAAAATAAAAAATTAAAAGATTAAGTGGAATTGAGATCTACCGACGCAAACTAGAGCACTAACGAGATCTGCTGCTTCAAGCTACAAGTCAATATATGCACTTTCCAAAGGCAGGGTCCCACTTTGTAGTCCAAGTGGTGCACATGCGGCAATAGCAGAAGGAAAAAAAAAACCTGCAATGAAAAATTGTATTTTTGTGAGAGAGGGAGGAGTTGGCAAGGAGCAGCCACTGTCCAACCATGTGAGTATCCTGGAGGCTGCCTTCAGAGCGTCCCCTTTAAAATGTGCAGCCTTTTGCAGGATGTAAATGTTGATGATGCAGGAGCAAGGCAAGTTTTAAAATGACTGGAAACTTGTCCTTCAGCAGCCTCTTACAGAATTGCTCTGCACGTCTCAAGAAGAACTGGGGTTTCTTGCCTCGAATCCCTAACAGGCAAGTTATTTCCAAGTTATCCAAAGAATGTGGAGTGAAGCTTCTGCTGGGGAAAACGGTACACACCTATTACAGTGTGTACAGAGCAGAGAGAGGAGAGGAGGGGCCATGCAGCATGCACCAACCTGCTCTGTTCCCCGTTCAATGAGCAAACACTAACGCTGCAAGTTAATCCACGCTTGACACATCGCTGTAGAAAGAAGCAGGGTTGGTGCATTTTTGACATTTGAAAAACAAGAGCAAGTATGAAAAGAAATGCCGTTTGATTTAGTTTGACATTTCAGATCGCCTCAATCCATTTTGCTCTGATGCCGGGACAGGCTTGTACTTGTGAATGTCACTTTGAAAATATCTGCAGATAATAAATCTTTCAGAGATTGATGGGATACCGCATTAGACAGAACATTGCAGAGGAAGCAGTGGGTTGGAAATTGGCCGATGTGCGTACAATCATGAATATGCAAAACAAAGCATGCATAGAATTGAATTACCTGACATAACATATTTCCTTTTGTTTAAGTTACAAATACACTGCTTATTTTAAAAGAACGAATTAGCCAAGAATGACGCGCTGAACAGTAGGAAATTATTGAAATGATCTTGAAAAACAGCCTATAATGCTACTGTATGGGATTCTGACTTAATAAATTAGGTTAGCACTCCCTCTAGTGGTAAACCTAGGACATTACAGAACAAAAAAAGGTTATCAAAAGGAGTGATTGTGGTGTGCTGATATTGTTGCCACAATAATTAAATTTAAATCAATCAGTGGGATAAAACATCTTAAGCTGGTGATTTAGAGAAAGCAGTCCTGAATGATCCCACAGGTTAAACAGGGAGAAGTATAAAGGAGAAATATATAAAATGCACCAACCAAGGACCAACGCACTCACCAGTACTTTTCTCTAATATATAGAATAAATACAAAAAAGGGAACGTAATTTTGATTATCAACCGATTACTCGATAGGAACAACTTCATTATTCTTCAATTGTTTTGCCAGACATTTAAGTCAATCAAAATGTAAAACCGCTGTTATCCCAGACAATCATCGTTTTATAGGTTTATCATCCTAAAAAAAAAAAAAAAAAAAAGGAGGTGGACCCACGCTTTGTCTACAATAATGAACCTTCCTGTTTCCCGAGGCGAGCCAGACATCCATTTATCTCCTCTAAATGATGCGGATCACTATGGAGAATGGAGTAATTAGAATGTGCAGATAATTAAAAATGTCCCACTTCGGGTGATTTTCTTCAATCTCGACAGCATGTGACCGCGGGCGCAGACGAAAATGAGGTAAGATGCAAGTCCAGACCTCACCAAACTGAAACAATGAGAGTGCTACAGCAAAATAAATACAAAAAGGGAGGAAGATGTGAAATTTAGCAACGGGGGGGGGGGGGGGGGGGGGTGTCCCAGGGAATACGGGGAAGAACTTGAAGACAATGGAAGTGCTTCAGGCTTGGGTCATGGTTTAGTGGAGGATGGAGAGCGAGACAAGCTGCTCTGTTGAGATAGACGACGAGGCTCCTGAGTCATTTATGGATGAGACAACTGGGAACATGACTGAAGAGTGAGAAAATGGACACGGAAAATAGACCAAAAACTCAAATATAATAGTTATAGCTATAATAGACCTATTGCCAACATCAATACGACGACCACAAAAATGAAACTGAATTACACAGAATATATTGAGTATTCAACATGTCATAGTGTTGTAGTGACATGTTTCTTGAAGACCTGAGTACAGATGTAGAAAGTACAATAGTTACTATACAAGCTTGTGTGCTCATACTATCCCTTTAGGTGCCAGGGATTTTTTTCAGAAATGTAATGTGAAAAAGGCAAAAAGGTGGATCCTTGGAACGCAGAAAGAGATAGGACTACTAAAATGAATAACAAAACAAATACAAGAAGTTAAGAAATTAAGGGAAACGTTTATCTGTATGTAAGGTGTTCTGGATTTATTGGATCGTGAAGGACTTACACCAGTTTTTACAATAAAAGTAATGTTTTTTTTTGGTTTTTGTGGTTGTGGGAACGCCAGAAAAACTCCAGAGTTACGCAAGGGGCCAACCACTCTGCTAATGTAAAGTGCTATGATGCTCAGAAAGTCAAATTACCTAAAACAACAAAACATTATGCTAAAGCTTAGATCTTAGATTTGCTTCTTTTTTATGCTAAAGATATTATATTTTAGTTTTAGAGTTATTGTTCATTGATCATGTGTGCACTGGTCTATAACTGCTGATGCAACACTGAAATTTCTCCACTGTGGTATGAATAAAGGATCTCTTAACCTTGATATTCCAAGAACTTCTAGCCTCCATTCAGTGCGCCATGAACTCTGTTGCCCTGGATACGCATGACCCATTCCCAGTTTACCCTCAGACCGAAGCTCACTGACACAAATGCAGAGACAAGACACAAGCCCTTCTCTTTCCCCATTTTACTCTCGCGTATCGACAGGAACAAAAATAATTATTTCCGGTCGTTACTGCTCGTCAGCCCTCGCCGTGGTAATGGATGTGACAGGCGTAACCAAGGGAAACGGCGTGACACTGCCATCACAGGTCTGACCCTGATCAGAGCAGACACTGGTGTAATTAGAACGTGATGCTGCTCAGGATGCTCTTTGTTACACCTGTCTGTCGCCAGCCGCAGTCTCACACCTGTTTATAGACTCCACAGCGGAACCATGGGCTGAGCCAAATCTGTACAACTGTCTTAGAACCAGCAACTTTCACACGCAGATAATTGTACAAGGGATCTGACTGCAAAACAAAAATATTGAGGAACTTATAGGGAAGATCTCATTTGAACTTGACCATTATATTGAAAACTTATCTATAAGCACCTAAATGTTTACCAGGTTTACTCCACTGAATTGGAACCTCAACAATAACATCACCTGATTAAAAAAATAAAAACACCAAGCAACAATATTTCTGCCATTTCATATCAACAAATATTGACCAGATCATGTGGCCACTGCTCTGGTCAAGGTTTGGAAAACACTAAGATAACAAAGCATAAGAAGACGTTATTGTGTGATTTTCAAGCCGGTCAGTGCGCTCCGTGGAGAAAGGACAGTAATTGTAAATAAAATTGGCATCATATATACTGTTTAAGAACAAAATCTGGTTTCATTTGAGCATAAACTGTGCAAAAGAAGTCATTTAAATTTTGCATTACAAAAGGCACCGTGAACATAATTTTCTAGTTTAGTGAGTCTAAATATCAAATATAAGCATGGCACTGCCCTATGTTCTGCTTTTTCATCTCCTTGTCTCTGTAGTGTACCCGCTTACCAGCTCAACCGCAATAGAAACTTGTTCAATCCAGTTATTCCAGCAAACTCCCTCTATCAAATTAGCAGTTATAACTCCAATGTGCGACAACTTGTGATTACATTTCAACAATAATCTATCGTGAGCGGCCTCTAATTGTGGCCATTTGTTTTTATCTCCAAGTATGGCATATCAAAGCTTAACAAGTGAAATGTATCTCACAGCTCAAGCATATGACAAAGTACCCTGTCATCACGCTGAAACACTATCATGCAAATCATCAGCTTCTTCCAAAAGGCACATATGAAGAGGTCTTGAACTCCAGAAATGCAATACCACACGAGCTACTTTAGATCCTATGGGTAATCATTTACGGAGCTTCCAATCTTCACAGAGCTCCCCTCCTGCATCCCCCGATACGTTTGGTCATGTCTGTACTGTCCTGCCTACTTCTTAAACAGTATAATGTGTCGCATGTTTATTTTAGCAGCGGCCTTACCCTCGCTCCTATTGTTATGGAGGCTGGATCAGAGGGATCTGAGGGGCTCTGCAGTCGGGGCGAGTCTTCGGTGTCATTCAGGCTCTCCACGGTCAGTCCAGAGACTTCATCCAGAATGTCCTCTGCAAAAAAAAAAAAAAGAAAATGCAATGGGTTTAGCTGTACATTCAATGATAAAAAATGATTGATAAACTCTTCTCTATCTATAAAGCTCTTTACAACACTCAAAGGGCTTTACAATACATACACATAAAATCCATTTAAACATTCCCGCAATCAAAAAATAAGAAGTTAGAAAGCATTAAAAGTTCCACCGCGCTGATGAGTGTTAAAAGCGTTAAAAGCCAGTCTGAATGTGCACTTGTAAATTGTATATTGTAATCGTAATAATTCTATTTTAAATGTTATACCTGAGAAGTGTATTCTGATTTTTATTATGCCTTACTCTATTCTTTCCCTCTCTTTTCGGACTGATGCACCGAGCCAAAGCAATTTCCTAGTCTGACTTACTGTTACTTACATGGCAATGAAAATGATTCGGATTCTGAATAAATAAGCCTCAATTTTAAAAAGGCCAAAATCAGTGAGCACTCGCATATTTATTAGGAATTGAGACTACATTTTCCATGGCTACTGCACCGGATCCAAAATCATCCTTTTTCTTCATATGGTCAAGCCTTTTTTAGCATATATCTAAGTTTACAAAACACATCCATAGCATCAGAAGACTATTGAAGGACGGGGCATACAGTGGCTCAAGTGGATTTTATCTCCCCAGGATCAGTGATTACCGAACGTCCTCTACTTTGAAGGCTTGCGTGACTCACCCTTCAGCTTGATAACGTCTCCAACCTCCCAGAGTGGCTGTGACCCTTACATATGGAGTTCTCTGGTGCAATGACAGGTCCACACAGCTCAAGGATTCATATTAATATTCATACTGCACCGAGTCCCAGTATAAACAACAGCAGCTTGTCAGCCCATGTGACACAAGCGCCCAATTTACCAGGAATACAAATGGTGCCCTTGTGCAGATGAAGAGGGGAGGGCACAAGTGGCATAAGACAAGAGAGCCGTGTATAATTACTTTACCTTTGTGGTTCATGTACATTAGGTGTAAAGAAAACATTCTAAAAAGCAGCAGCACACTTGAAGGATGGAGAGGGTTGACCTTGAGGAAGGATTTTGGGCTTCAATGGAAGACGCTACAAATCTTGACTAGGAATAAGTAATGCTCCGACATCAAGGCTCTTCTTGATCATAATCCTTCCAAAAGTATTCCCCCTGGACTGTCTACCTGACAATTGAGCTAAAATCCTCAGTCTTAATTTGGCTGCAAGAAATATCCACTGCTGAATACAAACTTTAAAGCTAACATTCACTGACATTAAGGGGTGTATAGTTTAAAAGTTGATGTTTTTCATAACAATACTTGACTATGATCATCAAGACAATGACCTCATTAGCCAAGGATGTATAATATTGAGTGACAGTAATTTGGGTGTGATTAGACTGGGGTTAGTTATCTTCTGGAGTACCCAACTTTGAAACCACAAACTTGAACTATAGTCAAACTCATGTAACTAGTTCCATAAATGTGTGTATTTTTGGCCTCTGTTACACTCACACTCACTAATCTGCTCTCAGCATGAAAATATTGCATGGCTTGTTCCAAAATGTTGGAACAAACAGCATTAAATTAAAAATATAGGTATTCCATCTTAAAACGTCCAAAAGGTGTTTAGAAAAGAAAAAAAACACTACATTAGAATGTTTAAAATGTGGCCAAATATGACTGTAAATATCACTTAAAACATGTTCAAATTTACCTAATCAGAGTGCTACTGCATTTTTTTGTTTGTACAAATGGCTCTTTTTGGGGGTCAACTGACCCGCCAAATTGATTAAAAAATACCAAATATTTTTTCCAACTGGAATTGTGATGATTTTTCCTAACTTCCTCAGCCTTGAGCCATTTAGACCCTTTTTAAAAGGTTTTTTTCTTCTACTTTTAATAATCTGTGGCAGGTCATTTTGACCGAGTGTAGCACAAAAAAAAGAACAAGATCTCGTGTTTCAACACTGAATTGGTGGCTGGAAGTTGGTTTAGACCCAAAATTGAATCCTGCTCCCTGGACTCAGCAGCTGCAGTCGATCAATGATCAGTGCAGCGTCAGCAGAAACGGGTGTGTTTTTGTGCGTGTGCATGTGTGTGTCTATGTGTGAGTGTGTATGCATGTGTGCGTTCATGATTGAAGGTTAAACTGTAATCCTCACTCCTCTCCCCGCTCACATGAGGTTGCTTTCACCTGGATGAATTCTTATCTGGCAGTGAACAGGACATACCTTGGCTCTGGGAGAAGATGTCAGTGGACGTGTCTTGTTCCCCGTAGGTGCGCCGCGGTGGAGCAGGGCAGACGGTGCGGGAGTCGAGCTGGGGCAGGACACTCACGGTCAGGGTCACTGCCTGGTTCACAAAGGCCCCCCTCATGTCCTCCATATCCAGAGCAGAAGCTGATTTACCATTCAGGAACAAGATCTCATCCCCCGCCCGAATACCTAAGAGAGCGACATGTGTGGGAAGCATGAGACATAGGATTTTGCATGTAAATAATATAAAAAATAAAATAAAAATGACAAATTACAAGTAAATAAGTGCTAAGAAAATATTAATCTTAAATTCCCAAAGTGGGAAATTTTCAGTGTTGCATCACCAGTTACAGAACAGTAGGACTGAGGGGCACAGAGCGAAAGATAATGAACAATAACTATACTAAAATAAAATCTAACTTTAGCATGATAAAGAAAAGTATAAAATCTCTTGCTTTAGCCTAATAAGTACGGTAAAGTTTAATAGTTTCTTTCACAGACAAAGATCACAGAGCGCTTCACATTTAAAACATTCAGATAAAAATACACATACAAGTCAGATTTAAAGACACCGAAGACGGTCCTCATCATGAACACAGTTCACAGAGGCCTATATACAGTGAGGTGAGAAAGCCTGTCTAAACACATAAGTCTTAAGTTGGGACTTGAAATCAACAACAGACTCTAACATGCGCAGAGACTGGGGAAACTATAATTAAAATATCTGATTTAAGCAAAATAAAATATTTAATACAAACCTCATGCAATATCAATTCATCACAAGTCAATTTCAGTTCATAAATACTAAATCTCTATATATTCTACAGCTCAACTAGCAACAATGCTATGCTTTCAGATCAGTTTTCTCCTCCACGTAGCATTGACCACCTGTTCCATGTTGCACTAATTGAGAATTACCACTTGATCAGCTGACCAATTACCCGCTAACCCGAGCCAACAAAGCAAACCTTGGTGACAGCTCCTTTAGAAATCTTGATAGCTCTTTTATTAGCTCTTAATGCAAGATTTAGACAAATGGTTAGAAGCCTTGTTTGCCCGGAGCAAGGCTTTGGCTCGTCATACATCTTTAACTTCGGGTTTTTTTTTCTGTGTTGGCTGGTTTGAAGCCTAAAGATAGCTCTCTACAAACACAGCTTACACACTTTTGCCTTTGGTTTTGACCTACTTGTTTACGATGTGAACTGTCAGTGTTTGGCCCTGTGGACATTATGCAGCAGTAATAAATGAGTATAGTGTGTGCGTCCCATGTTTGTGCTTGTATAGACGAATGGTGGATGAGAAATACACTGCGGAAAAGAAGAGTAGAGAGCCTTCAGGCCTCTGAGTACATCACTGGCCTGGTTTCTCACTAAAAAACCCTGCAAGCGTTTACTTTAATTCCTGATTCTTTCTCTTTGGCTCGTATTACAAACCCATAGAGCCCGGTGACTTTGGTGATTCAACTCAACGTGGGAATATCAAAAGCTTAGATGAGAGATGGCTGTTCTGTGCCGACACTTCAGACAGTGGGTGAAACACAGAGCTTGTTTACAGGAAGTGAACAAGGAGAATATTTGCATTTTTACAAAGAGGCAAACAAGGTATCAATAAAAGATACAAAAAAGACTGCATAATAATGAACTATAGTAGCATGTTGATTATGTATGTTGACTCTATGAAGGTGAAATTGGTCAGATTAGAATATGGTTCAAAAGTTCATTGATTGCTGTATGAAATCATGATAGACTCATAACATGCAAAATGACATATGCCATATTTTCTGAGATGTTTTATTTGGTGTTTTTAAAAGTTGTGAGACATTTATCGCCATTATATAAAATAAAGGATAGATAGGAAATTAACTTCTGAACAATATTCTAATTTTCACCTGCAAAATACTTTCTGTTATACTAATCATTTCTGTGTAGACTTATCTGTCGCATGTCATCAGGACAATTTACAGGTTAGATCTGTAGATTCAAGGTATTTTAGCTAATCCATAAAAATCATTGAACATACGGAAGATAGACGTTTTTGCTCCATACTGGGGGGACATTCAAGGCAAAGCGATGACATCTCCATTGTACTGTGACGGATCCTCTCCAGAAATATCATGATATACTGTATACCGCCTTTAATCTTTTTATATAGCTATAATACAAATTAGAATATTGTGTCCTTTTACTGTAATTCAACGTTCAATGTGAAACTAATATGTGACAGACTCATTACATGCAAATTGAGATCTATCAAGCTTATTTGTTATGATGTTGATAATTGGCTCAGAACCATAATCACCCAAATGAAAAGAGTCTAATGAGTCTTGGGCATGTATTGTCTCACATTTTAAGTTGAAGTACATAAATAAATGAACAATATTCACCTGTAAGTACACTTTTAACCTGTATAATTACTCACAAATATTGCTGAAACGTGGCGCAGTCTGCTGAACATGCATCTTTAACATTGCAAATGCGGCGCAGGGACGGCTCGATCTCACACTTCAATAACCTTGCTCTGACCCTGGGGCGTGCTATTTTCTGTACATTACTGTTTTATCTGCTGCCATCCATTTCTCAAACCTATTAGTGGTTTGCAGCGCTGAGAGGGGACAGAGCCACCGACACGGCTGCAGTCAGCGGGTCAGGTAGAAAGAATCTATTTTCAAAGAGCCTTGTGACTATGAAGAGCCTTTGTCATTTGAAAAAAACATCATTTGCTTCGTCAATGGAGCAGAAAATGCTTTTTGTGCTTGGAAATATATGATCCTATTCTGAATCTCAATTCAGAATAGGATCATAAGAAGCTGAAACTGTTAATATCTAGTGAACCAAAGCTGTTTACAGTCTTAAGATCCACATTTATTCTTTGGCTTTTCCCTCCGCATGAGTAGTGTCGTCCTCTGTGTTTTATTATATTTAATTTGATTTGATTTATAAAGGTGGCTGAATTTTTTGTTTATTTTTTGTGTCTGTTTATTTGGTTTGAATAGCAGTGATGTAAATATCAGAATCAGAATCAGAATCAGAATCATTTTTATTGCCACGTGAGTAACAAAGTTATCACTTGGAAATTGTTTTGGCAGAGAGCGTGCCACTTCGCCATTTGCGGCGCTGTGTGCAGCAAGAAACAGCAGAGAGCAATAACATACAGTTCACAAACAATTGGATAGACACATTGTGCTTTTTATAAACCACGGATTTTTTTCTCGGGAAGAGCACCTCTTCGGCCGGCCCAATGTAGCTGTCAGAGGGGGGCGGGATCAGGGAGGGGGTGAGTAGGAAAACAATAAGGAATGGAGGGGAGGGAGGGAGCAAGATGGATAGGTAGAGGGAGGCGGGGGTGGGGGATCCTTGCTGAAGACTGAAATAGTGTGAGTTGTTGTAGATTGTGGGACCTTGTTTATGGCCTTGGCTGAGGAATGTGAGATAAGAGTGGAGAGAGAAGCCACAGGAGGAGAAAAACACATCGCCTGCAATGTCGCAGTCAAAATCAGGCAGATATTCTATTAATTCCAATTAAACCGAATTCCGGTGCCCTCAGACCTCCGTACACAGGGGCAAATCCAAGCCGGGTCAGAGAGATCAAGCCTGACAAACAATGTCATTCAATCTCAATTCTAAGGTCTTATGTCCATCAAGTGAACGAGCTGCGAGGTCTTTGATCAACTGTTCCACCAACACCACTCTCCGTTGTCCAGACACGGCACTCTCAACCACGACACGGCTAAGCTCCTTGTACATCCCATCAATTTTATCGGCCAGCAGGTCGTGAATCTTGCGAACTGCCATGCCTCCGAATTTGTGGTAGAAGAGGATCGCTCCAAACCCAAACAGGAGGATTCCCGCCACCAAAATGCCAAAGATATATACGTCTTCCGAATCTTCAATGGACAGGGTCGACAGACAGAGGGGCTGCCACTTGTTCCAGCTGTCAAGTGTATACCCCGCTGGTGAAGTCCCGCTGGTGAAGAAATATACCGGATTGTTTACAGCTGTAGTCCCACAGTCACACTCAAAAACCCACACCTAATCATCCTGAACTACTGTACTGTTTATAGTGGTAGGAGAAACTGGAGCACCTGGAGGAAACTTATGCAGACACAAAAAAACAGGCAAAATCTTGCTAACACTGTGCTGTTTACATTTATTACTTTTGTCTCTGTGCAGCTCTTTATAAATTTGCTTTATAGATACAAGTTAATTGAGTTGGATAAATAAAGTAATCCCATTACAGGGATTACCAAAATATGAAGTACGTCAACATCATAGACTGTGTATAGATGGACAATGTTGGCTCAATGACGGTTAATAGGGAAGGGATTTTTAACTCACTCTGACTCCTACTTGTCATTAAGCAGGTAAGCTCTCTACGATCCTAGGTTTTTCCTTTTGATATTGCCTTTGTAAATCCAGATATGAGCCGTTAGGATTGACCAATCAGATGCCTTCATTTGCAGGGGAAGCTCATGCTTGCCTTAGCAACCATATTAGCATCACGTTAGTTCAAAAAAAAACCTGTCGGAACAAATATCAGGAATTTAAGATCTATGGTCAACATATAAAATCCATCGCAGTTTCATTTGTTGTGTTATTTGACAATAATATCTTCAATGATCATGTATGAAAAACAATGAAAACCTTTAGTTTATTTTAAATTCATGCTTTGAGAACCACAGTTACCTTTTGATAAATTTGATCTTCCAAAACAGTCCTTTTTATTCAAATTGGATCCAAATAGAAGCTTCTATCCTGCTGTGATACAAGTTATGACAATAAAACATATGTTTAATCCCCTATCGACAAAAACTCACTGCTGCAATCTGTTTGTCTGTGAATAAATGAATATATTACAGAAAAACAGTCGAATAGCATTTCAAGTGTTTTATATGTAAAAAGGTACAAAAGTATGATTATAGACACTGTAAAGCAGTCTTGTTTACCTTTAGCCGTTGCCAGACCGTCAGGTTTGACTTCAGTAATGTGCAGCTGCTGTGTCCCGTCCTCATCAATCACTGCCACAGAAAAACCTAGAAACACAAATTATGAAAGACAATATTACATTATGGCCTCAACGTATCAATTCTGGGACCATTACAAGCACCCGAAATGAAGATCTTTCATTCATTTTAATGCAACATGACAGGATAAAATCCAATTTCTAGAATCAATTGGATTTGGTAATAAGGAGAAGGACCGGAGCAGATCTGTCTATGTCAAGACTACTTAAATATCTATGAATTAAGATAAGTCCGTTTATTTTCTTAGATCAATACTGTGCAGCTAATAAACTTATACACCTAAATGTTGGTGCCTAATCTTCTGCAATTTCTAAGATTTGTGAAAAGGTTATTTGAACTGCTTACTGTACTCATGTTAATTTGACTTTTTGAATGGAATCTTTGTCACATACACAGTATATTCACACTATGTTCAAGTTGCTAATGCAAACATGCAATACATTTGTTTTAGTCAACTTAAGGTCTAATTTATGTTAACTCATAAACTCATAAACTCATATTGCCTACAACACTGGATCAAACAAACATAATCTTGAACTACATTTTATTCAATTCCACCCTATGAAAGTACCGTTTGTTGCCAGCTTACCACATCCTGCAGTGCAAGTCTCATATTTATCGAAGCGGACCACCTTCGTAGCTTTTGGACTGATCTCAATCTCTTTGTAGAGCTGCAAAACAACGAGAAAAGACATTTAATTGGCAGTAAACACAAAAACCCACATGACTCTGGCTTGTAAAGAGTCAAGGGCACCGCTCCATAACAAAGAATGGTGAGACTCATGTTTTATTCAGGCTCCTTAATGAAGCTATTGCTTCGTGAAGGTTGCAAGGTCAAGACTCCGGGTGCAGGGAGTGGGTGATCAGAGGAACAGCTGTGTGTATGAAGCAACACAAGTCTTGAGTGCGCAATTTCACGTTCAGTAAGGATATAATGACTGGTGAAAGATGGTGGTGGGCTGAATGATCAAAGCCACAAGATAAAAAGGAAGGATTACAACAATGAATGTGCTTGAGATGGAGGTTAACGAGTGTGTGACAGATTTTTTGAAAAAGGACTTTTCTTGGGATGACAGAAATATTTGGAACAGTTTTACAGTCGAGTGGTTGTCCCAAAGTGTTGAAGTTAATGTTTAGCAATATTGGAGGTGGCAGTAGTTATCCTGGTATATATCCTGTTTTTCTATGGGATTAAAAGTAAGGAATCATTTACGTTTATTCCTCATTTTTATTTCCAAATTTGTGTACTTTCCATTCTAAAAAAATTGGTGAATAAACATTTGGTTAGCCATGCTTCTAAGTGAAAATGGACGATAGATACAGTCACCTTCTACATGTTTTGTTTCGTGTTTATTCTTTGCCAGAATAAAAAAGTATAATGTCAATACAGTAATGCTAAAAGTAAATTAAAACTAGTACTTTTGCCACTGCCATTATAAAGGAAGTGATGAGGAATAATGGAAACCAATGTTGTCAAATTTAAACTCAAAAAAACCTTTTCACACACAAAAAGTAATAAAGCCAGAAAAGCAAGAACAAGGTTTTTGACTATTGTGTAAATTACATGAGCAGCTCATGTCCAACCAGGAAGTGAAATTTTAAACTTGACCAAACAAAGAAATAGGAAAGATATCGTGTTCAATCAACAATTTTTTTGTGAACTGAGTTGAATAATCTGTAACATGAGCTAAGTGTGTCACCTTCAAAACATTCGGCTGAAAATATGCACAAACACATTTGCCGAGTACAGAAGTTTATATACAGCTTTGCATCATTTATGTTACTGTACAGTGTAGCCGTGGCCCGTGCATCCAGGGAATCGTGCGCTAAATCATAAAACATGCACAAGCCTCGTTTGTGTTTGCCAAGAACTGTCAGGAATTAATTAATAATCAGGTGATGACCCCAAAATGCAAATGAAAAAGTAACAAGCAACAAATGTGCGAGACAATAACGGCGGCCTACATGAGGTTAAAAAGTGTAATTGGCTATATTAAAATCCATAAACTCGATAATAATGCTTTCTCACCACATCTGAAATGTCTTCTTCAACTTTCGGCACGTAGATCAGCATTTGGTGATCAACCCAGACTTTTAATCGAAGGTAGTGGCTGGACGTTTCGAGCGTGTGCGTCTGAAAAGAGACAAATGCAAAGGATCTAAGAATCCAATAACATACAGAGACCACGCGTTAAGATATAAAATAATCTTTGTGTTTGGATATTCTGTAATCCAGGCAGGTCCAAACCAAGGCTCGCGGGCTAAATGCGGCCCACTGTTTAATCGTATGTGGCCCTCTGCCTGGCTAACACAAACAATCCATAGAGGCATTTTCACAGAGTCATCCAGCCAACCTTAGGTCCACCAAAATAGCCATGCGGCATCTCATTGTAAAGCTCCGATATACTGTCATTTTTTTCAAATTGTGTCCCAAAATGGCACCAGTATAGATGTGGTTTTGATAAATATGAACATATCATACCCAATTTTTAAAGCCCAAATCCTGAAAAGCAGTTTTAGAATGTCGGGTGAACTGAAGTGGCGCTCATACTAAAAGTTTTGGACACCCCTGCTGTAAACAGTCAGTTTGAAGTAGATAGCAGACTATGTACAATAGCTTCTAAAGGTAATAATGCAGACCAGACCACTTCAATCTATAAATGATTCATCAATTCGGGGGGTTTTTTTATAAAGAGAATGTGAAGCCACCAAAGGTCATTCTAATAGACTGTTTCCCCTAAACACACTACTTTACTATTAATAACAGTCATGTAAACAAGTCCTGAATATTCTTTTATGTAAAAACTATCCCCGTCCACCACAGTCCATACATGTGTTGAAGTCTGTAAAGTCAGATCAAAATTTATCGATTAAATAGTTTGTCAATTATTGAGTAAAATCTATTCACGATGACAACCCTTTTACATAGTTTGCATAAATTACATTATATGAAATCTATATCTAACTAACAATTTATAATACTTTTTCATTCTGTTTTAGCCACCATATTTTACTAAGATAACCTTTGACAATACATGGATCCGCTTGCCTAATTAGTGATAAAACTTACATCTCATCCCCTGGTAACAGCACATTGTCGTGTACAAAGAACCAAATAATGTATGTAATGTTCCTGTAGAGTCGAGGTACGTGACGTGCACGGCTGAATAACGGCTCCAGTTCCTGTGACTTGTATCTGCCACATGCACATCGCCCACAGACACATCACTCAGCCATCGTCTGTATCAAACATGATAGTGATGTAGGAGGATGGAACCTATGTAAGGTCTATACGGGCATGGGATTTCATGTAGAAGACGCAAAGAACAGATAATAATAGCAACTTGAGACTCAGGTTATTTATAGATCTATCCATCATTAATTATAAATGATGGATAGATCTGGCTAGCATAGAAATAATTAGATTGTGTTTTTCTAGAGCTGGGGAAAACAATACAATCAAAGCATGAGTTAGCATGAATGGATAGGTTTTTTTTTGCACAATCCTAAATACAGACAAAACACATCCACACAGAGGATCATAATACCTCTTGTTGTGGTAATAAACATTTTGTGCTATGAAGGAAGTGACCATTTCAAGTTATTAACAGAATACAGTATATATTTATTTTTCATAGGCTTTACTTATATGATACTATATTTAGGATATAAGATATGACTGTAGATACTGTTACTATATGCTTATTACGCGAGTGAACAAATAAACAGTAGAATTAGGCAAAATTTGTCATAGAAGTACATGGTAGCAATTTATAGCAAAAAAAATTGTGCAATTACAAAGAAAACACCATTATTGCATAGATTATGTACATGCCATAGATATTGAGCCTCAAAACATATTGCAACATCCATCAATTAGATAGCTCTAAGTCATTTGATATTGATCCAGGTCCAGTGCTAGTTCAAAGAAGGAGACAAACCTTGCACACCGCACTGAGAACCTCCAGTGCAGTTTCTCCGGGTCGGACGACGGCCAGAACGGGCTGATCATTGGGCAAACACACCCAGGATGGAGCCACATAATCGGGCACCCAGATGTCAGCGTCCATGTTCTGCGGTGGAAGACTTTTCACAGAGCCTTCTGTCTCCTTCTGAAAAATAAACAGACTTTTGATGCATAATTTACCGACATCTTCACATTGAGGGAAAACAAAGGACAGCATGATGCGTTACAACTTTGATGCGATGCTTAAAACCTCTTTTCACAATATTAATGTTTTATGCAGTAGGGAAGGGACACGAGTGCATACCACAAGATTAAATTGCCTCAAATATGGGGTTTTATCATGTGAGATATAGTCTAATATAAATAGTAAATCCTTGTATGTAATATAATTTAACAATGACAATAGTAAAATTCCTCTATCTAGAATTACGTCTCATCTGAAGGAAATCCGGTCTGGTTTCATCCCTAGTGACTAGTTCTGTAACAATATACATTTCTAAATCATAATTTTGCTTTTAGACACCAGATAGGCCCAAATTGATTGGTCTAATGTGAGGGAGAATGCTGGTGGGCCAGAGATCTTATAACAAAAATCTAATTCATTTGTGCTGATAAAAGACCACCCCTATACATGTGTGGGAGCGTCCATCTTGTCACTTTGACCTCTCACAATCTGGCAGCCATGACAGCATTCCTCCTCTCCATCCTCGTCCTTTTATTTGAACCAGCACTCTCTGTTAAAGGAATCGAATCTGCTGCTATCACTTTACAACAGCAGCACCTACGGTTATCGCCTTTTGTCAACCAACCATTGATTGCGGCATACACCCCATTTCTATTTGAAAAGGGTCAGTATTAAGATAACATTTTGTGGAACTGATTTGGGGAAACAGTTCTTGAGTAAATGTAAAAACAAAAGACATTGATTTTGGGTACCTAACTTTCAAACCACAAAAACGATAGAATAAAGTCAATCTAACTAGTTACTATAGTTAACAAAATAGTTTGGGTCAATCCGAAAGTGAAGAAAGAGGACCACACTCATTCAGCAACTTTTAACTCACAGTGCTAAATATTGACTCACAGTGGGGCAAGAATGCAAAAATATTTTCTAAAAAGTCAGCTTGTTGTGGTCTTGATTTTAGTTGACTCTTAGAAGACTAATACAAACACAATGTATTATGTATAAAACAAAAAAGTTAGTTACCCCATCTTTCCTCAACCATTTGGTGGATCACTTTTTGAGTCACTATATCGACTTGAAGCTTGGAACTGAAATCTGTGACATTGAGGCATCTTTATCACTTGGTTTTAGGCACTTTTACCATCAAGCTGCATCTCAAACATTTAGAAAAGGCCTATAATTTAAAAATTAGGCAAAAAAAAGGAAAATTGACATTGCTTTCTTCGAGGAGTGAACATGAAAGGGTTAACATATAAAAATATATTAAAAAGTCTCAATGGCCATATGACTGTGTTTCATGTGTAAAGATTATATCCTCAACGCTGCCATGCATTTCATTTCCAGTGCAGTAGACTGTAAATTGTTTCTCTTCACCTGTATTCAACCCATCCCTGGATGTGTATGAGGTGCTCCATCTATTCTATCTGCCCGTCCTTTCTCATTCCCACAATACAATCTGCTGACAGTAAGAAAAGCGGCCATTTTGAACTAACTTGATTGAGTTGCACGTTGGCTCTAGATAACAGAAGCACATTTTCTTGCGTTCAAACAATGAAAACATGCAGCCGTCAAGACAACAGACTATTGGGGCAATGGCAAGATATTCAACCCCCTCGAGCTACCAGCACTCGTACCATCTGGCTCCCCTCCTGGTGAATCTGGGATACCCCCCCGCTGTGGGGCTGGGGTCCAAGGCAACACATTTTTCTTTCCATTTCCCAGAACAAACACTGGCGCGGCATATGAACAATTAGAGGGGGAAATGAGACACTGTTTACAAAGTATCATCAGTGCGGAGCTTCTCACATTTACAGCACTGAATAAACACATCACAATGGATTATTTTCTGTCTGAAATTGGTCCAGGCTTACATACAGTACTTTATCTCATCGGACCACAGTTTTGTTAGTGTGGGTGATAATTGTATTATTCCTATTATTATTGCTGTTCCCTTCTTTGAATGTCTGGGCTGGTAAGACTGCGCAAGAATGTATTATCATAGAAATGCCTTAAAATTCTGAAGTACATTTTAACGTATATTGTCATCAACGCATGCTTTATTACATACATGTTTTACTGCGTAGATGACCACACTCGAAAATGACCACAACCTATTTCCAGTTTTTATGACTTCATAAAATCGTACCGGCCTAACTTACACAATACTTGATTTAGTTTGTAAGTAAGTAAGTACGTCATGTTGCTTTATATAGCGCCTTCCAGAGACACAAGAAAATGTCAGTGAAATAGTCAGGAAATAGAAAGCACTCGCTACAAGATAATAACACGGAAGTACAATCATGCTGTTTTTGAACCAAAGGCAAAAGTGATTAGCAATTTTCAATTCACCATATTGCACTTTTGGCTTGAGTTCATGCGCAATGCCCTCTTGCTTCTCATTTGATGCAGTCTTTTGCCAGCGCTCATAAAATATAAAAGTCACAGCCTCATTCTAGCAGCGCAACCCTTGGGTAATTGGACGTTTTCAGCTTGCCTCACTGATAAGACTTTACTTGAAAGTCTCAATACTGTCAAGTCTTTGAATAATTAAAAGTTACTCATTATTTCAAATTGTCTATAAGTTGCAGCAGTCAATATGGCAGGGAACAGATGGTGCAAATCTGCCAAGTCCTCTAGTACCAAGCACTCGCGTAATTAGCCGAAACATCAGAAAGCTAATGATCTGAACATATCAGATCAAATTCTCCTCAGTGGGATTAGCCGACACAAATACCCCCTCAGTCGATCGGTCTGTGGGCGAGATAGAGTTAACGCTCCGAGCAATTAAGATGAAGAAAAAAATAATATGTGGTGAAGTTGATGGGAATGAGCACAAAAAGGAGTTAAAGGTGAGGTTGTCAATGAAGTCACCGGCGCAAAAGAAATAAAATGGATCAATTAAAGGTAAATAAAACGTTCACGATACACAAACAGATTAGAAAAGAAACACTACAACAACAAAAGTATGGATGAGTGGATACCTTGAATCAGGATTGTCGCTAAACCATCTCCCAGAGGCAAGACGCAGACCATATAGACTAGAAGTTATCATAAATAGAAATAATTAACCTCTACCCTTGTAACGTTGATATTTGGACTTTGTCAACAATGATATAAAAACATTGGATGAATTAGCTATTGTTGAAAAATTATCAAGATTTCCCCTCAGTCCGTTCCTCCGATTGATCTTTGTCAAACGCCTAAACAACCCCTGCCCGATTTTAATCCACAAAGTCACAAGTGGCTTAGTTTCGACACACTGACTGAAGTTTTTTAATCACTTCTAATTTTTCGTTTGTTCAATAAATTATCCAATATGTTGAACAGCCTTATCTAATATTAACTCAAGGTTCACTGAAGTCTAGTTTAATTTAGATTATCGTAAAATGAAAATGATCAAACCTTTCCCCTCAAATAACCCATAAAAGTAGAAGCAAAGCAGCAAGAGGATATTGTTTAAGTGAAAGAGGGTGGAAAATCCCATGATGGTAATGGCCTGAGGGTCCTGATGAGCCCATTATTCTGATACAAGGACTTATCAGCTGCCTCAGTGATTTTAATGTTGAGTTATAAGCAAGGCAAACATTGACAAGGAGTTTGCCTACAGCCATGCGATTTTGATTTTCGGTCAGGATATTGTCAATGCAAGAAACAAAGAGATAAGTGGGGTTTTGGCCCTGAGCGTGCCGCTAATGTAGAGCACTGGTAAATGCTGTGTTTGATGCCTTTAAAAGCTTTAAGTCAACAACCCATTTCAGAACAAGGTGCAAAGTAAAAGATTCTTACAGATTTTTCACTAACAGAATCTTCAAACATCCGTTCCAGAGGTTTTCGCACTGGCTCCACTCCGTCGACAAACACCTGAAAAATAAAATAGAAATGTAAAATCAGTCCAAAGCTGATTACCACACAATCCTGACTCCATAATGACTTATACGTATTGTTTTTATACACAAACCAGAGCACAAAGAGCGGCAGAGTTGTATTGTTCTCCAAGCCCAGATATCAAATACCATTCTATCGTCTCCACTCTATTGGAAAAGACTTTGAAATGTATCGGAAGTCGGAAGAGACTTTTAGAAAATTGAAAATGGATTTTATGTCACTACTAAATCTGAAAAGACTCTGATATTATGAAGCCTAAACTCTTTGCTATTGTATCTTAGGGGTGTTCACACAGACATGCAATACTCCTTACAATTAGCACATTTACATTTTACAAAGCATAATAATCTGGAGTACACAAAAGGAAAAAAACTTGTCAGACTAGTCCATATCAAAAGTGTCTTGTAACTTTGCCTGATTATTAAAACTATGTAACTGTAGTTGTAAATAAAATTGCTATCATCCATATTGTATGAGAATGCAATCTGCTAATTTAACCACACATTTTGTTTGCTTTCATTAGATTTTCAAAAATGCCTTGTACACAATGCCTTGTACCACAGCGCTCCCAAATGCATCATAATTCCTTTGAAGTTCTGCTTTTGCTTTGTGTAAGAAAACACAATGAAACTCACGCAGCGGGGGCATGACTTTTCCCTGTGCTTTCAAATGCGTGTGCTAGCTTTGTCTCAATAGGATCTGATATGCGTGTGTCCAAGCCAGATCGACTACAGCAGAAACGGTTTGATCCAGTTATTCCAAACAAACTGGATTGTCACACTCAGTTCTCATGTGTCATGTTCAATTAAATTAAATTGGACTGGGCGAAGGATCCAGTGTTCACAAGGGCTTTGAACACATATGCAATGTCACTGAAAGCAAAAGTCAGTGGAGGAGAACTAGTTTGGTGGTTTTTTGTGTCAGTATTAGCAATACAGCTAGTTTCCAACTGTAGTCCCTAGGCAAGCTGTAAAATGCCAACAAACAACCCTGCAAACAATACAGTACAAAATTAACTAACTTATATTATGAACAAGTGATACAAAGCCCAAAGTGATACAAATGCAAAGTTCATTGTTCCAAGTATGATCATTTCCTTAATGTCTAAAAACATACCAAAAATAGAGCTATTATTTGTTCGTATCAAGTTTTTCATATATAGTTTAGTTTGATTTATTTTGTATTATTTTTTGCTGTTCATTTCGTTGTAGTACCGTAAAAAAGCACTGAACTTCAAGTACATTTTGATGTATATTGTCATCAACGCATGCTTTAATACATACATGCCATTTGTTATCAGGTCGCTTGAATAGTCATAGCCATAGCCTCTATACCTGGTTGATGGAGGGGTGCGCCTTGCTCTTCCGTTTGGAGGCGGTGTCCAGGCCCCACAGGGAGGAAAAGCGACTTCTGCGTTTGCTGAAGGTGCGTGGCATGGCGGCTTGGGTTTTCCGTCTGTTACTGCATTCTGTGCGCGCTGACACCTGCAATGCACGCACACAGTCTGTGTTTAGCGCGGAGCAATGATAGACGCGCAGCTTTTACACACATCCTTCATCTCAGCGTGTGACAGTTGGTTCATCGCCTGTCCTCACTTTTCACATTCAATGACTGTGATTTAAGACGGGAGCAGAGAAGAAGTCGTGTCTCAGATGATGTAACTGCAGCAAATTATGTGGCCACAAACGGAAAGATTTAAATGCCAGAATGATACTGTCATCCAGGCTTTGTGCAACATTTCTTTTTATTTTTTTATAGTCACTTTTTTTTTTTCAACAATATTGCGTTTTTAAACATAAAACTTACATTCACACAGACATGTAAAAGAAAAGAGAAAACAAACAAAGCAAACCATAAGAATAATAAAGGATAAAAAAAGCAAAAAAAAAGTTATATCATCATAAAAATAAATCACTTGTTCATAATATATATCTTGCACAAAAGAGACTATATATTTTAACATGTTTGCAAACTTTCTGTCTCTTTGCACCCCCTGATGATTCAAATTATGCCAAATGTGACATGTAAGTTTATCTTATCATAATTATCTATTTATCAAGGCTACTAAAACACTGCTGTGTGTAGATTGAAGGAATTTGTAGATCTGAACTGAAAATGTCTCTCTGTTTTAGTAAGTGCAACAACTGGGGCATTTACAGCCACACACATAGAAGCCACATTTCAGATTTTTTTTTGTTTTTTTTTTTCTTCATGTAGTTTGCCGTCCATGAGTGTTGGCAGTTCTGGGTTAATGCAAATTGAACCACTGGGCCACACTGACTCACTCTGTGGTCTGGTACAATGATGTCTTTAACATGAATAGAAGGCCGACTGTGCATAACGGAGTTTCAGCGTGTGGGGGGTTCTCCACTGGCTTCATCTTAACTTATCTATGTATACAGATATTATGTACATGTACACACTAATAGGTTTTCTGTTTTGTTACTTAAAAGTGGTCTTTCCAAGTAACAATGTACTGGTATGTGGACTTTAGAACTTATGGTTGACATTAAACTTAATAACATACTAGAAGAAACATGAGAAATGTATATAACAACAACAATACAATACATTGTATTTTTGTATAGCCCTAAATCACAACAGTAGTCATCTCAGAGGACTTAACAAAACCATTGAAATCACCAACGCAGATCAGAGAATCAACAGTTAAGACACAAAAATATACAGTCAAGATCCATTTCTTTCTTATTCTTATTGATTGGCTTATGGCTTTTTCATTGAAAGATCTTGAGAAGTTGAATGTGCTGCCTCTTAGCATGGTCTTGGAAAAAAGTACTTGAATGCATATAAGGTTTTCCTGGTTATTAAAATTAATGTATTAGCTCGAAGGAGTGCTGAAAAAAATACCACAGAAATTACCTGTTTTATTTTTAACAGACATGACTGTATTAAAAATGCGGCACAAATGCCAATCATCCGACCCTGATCAAGCATTAGTCATGTATGTGCTGGCAACCAGAGATATACGTAAGTAAACTTTATATAGTGTCCAAAATACAGCAACGAACACTCTCAATATGCCTGCCCGGTGGTTCTCACTTTTGTCCCACTGTTTTTTTGTTTTGTTTTTCTGGGATGACCTGTGACATTTATGGAAATTGGTCATCCCGCTACCCTCTGGACCAATGGTGATTGTTATTATTGCTTTTCCTCCGAGATAACTGCTGATGTGATTCTATAGAAAAAATAAATTGAATTGAATTGAATATATAGTGCATTTCACAGACCAATGTCACAGAAAGTGCTTTACAATGTTTGTAATATCCATTCAAGCAAGACACTGAACACAAGGCCCACCGGACCCTCTGACTATTACCATCCATTCACTCGCTCAGACGATGCATACGCAGACAGAGGGAGAAAATGCAAACCCAGGAACTTCATGTTGTGATGCAGAGGGACAGCTTCCATCTAAACTCGAATGTAGTAATCATGTTTAACAAACAGCGAGGCCACAGAAAGTGAAGACGCCAGTGGAGACACAAGTATGAAAATGCAGACATGTATTGTATGTGGATGGGCCCAGACTAAACAGTGCGTACATGAGACAAAGGATGTGGAGGCGTTGGCAGAGCAGGGGAGAGAGGGGTGCAGCGGAGGAGAGGGTGCTGGGTGTTAAGCCTATTTGTGGGAAAGTGCCTGAGGGATGGCAGCTTACTAACAGAGCAAGTATCGACCCACCAATCAAAAGGAGGCAAGATCAACCTTTGACAGCTTGTGCCTGCACAGGGGACCAGCGGGTTTCTCCAGGTGAAACTCAACACATAAAAACACTTGAACATGTCTCATTGTGAGATCCAATAAAACCATCATTTAAATAAGTAATTTGTTCTCAGTTTGTGTTGATTCTATGACATGTGTTTTTTTGATTGTTCATAAAAAACAAAACTATAATTATTACTGCACAACCCAAAGATATAACTTAGCCTGAATCCATATATATAATTTTCAATGCATTGTAATTTAACCGGAGCGAATGTTAGCGTTGTCAGATGTGATTGGTAACAGAGAAAGGATGCAGCCCTAAAACGCATAGAAAGTATCGGGATTCATAGGTTCTGAGCAGCAACTCTGTGGTTAAATGGTTTTATGCCTTTTCCATTCCCTAATCATCATTCATCATCTTCAAAGCACATGTGTAAAAACATAAAGCCTGTGGCCTGGTGGACCATTTTTTGTGGCCTCTGAACTGATTTTCATTGTGATTCATTAATATGTAATATGGCTGCCATGGCATGTTATATCTATTTTTAATGCAAACAACCATGCCATTTAATTTATTCTAACATTTGAACCCACCAAGTAGTTACATAAAACTCATTTAATTTTGTAGGGAATTAATCTTTTTCCGGAGTTAACGGATGGCTAAGGGCAGGCTATATCAGATCTTTGGTCAAGTTTATTTGTTCAAACCAAACAGTAACTGAACAAAACATATTTGTGATTCTATTAGATGTTCCTATAGTTAAAATACAAGGATCTTGTCATCTATCCAACATTTATCATTCCAGTCGAAGCAAAAACATACACATGCACCTTTTAAAACAAAGACATGAATAATCAAACAGATATAAATGAGCATGAATGAGTATCACGTTGCATCCTATGTGAGCGAGAGGTGAAAGTCTGACGCTTATTGACTTTTTGGATGCCAAACACAACGACATGCCGTTCATTCCGTCCATACCACGTCTCATTTTGAACATCCATAGGTTGTCAATAACACTCAACATGAGGTAATGAGCTGGCTCTGTGCCACAGGCGAAAACTGTCATCACCATTCATGAAATATTGGCTTTGTTTGTTTGGTGGAGACGACTTGACAACAAAAATCAACTTGATACGTTATTTCCACATTTATCAAATAACAAATTAGCTTGGTTTCATCATCAACAAACGGCTGCTAAGTGATCATGTTGTTTTTCTCATGAACCATCTTACGCAACGCTCGCATGTCACGTTGATTCAGAACATTAGTTTTGGTACAAGTAGAGTCACGTGGGTTACTTTAGAATAGATTACAATACTGTGCACAAATTGTCTAAGTGATTTTTCTCCTCTTTTTTTGTAGATTTGTTCAGCTTTATGGCACTAATTCAATCCAAAACCTATGCACAGTATCACTTTGTTACAATAGGTTAAATTAAGTCGGAAATATTACAACAGAACATGGGAAAAAAGTATTAGTGTCGAAAAAAACCCATACCAGAGCATGAAAAGAAGAGACAGAGAAGATGCCCAGTCGTCCCATAGCCAGTTTGGAGGGCCGTGAGGCACAGCCCAGCAGGCGTTTGGGATTGGGGGGCTCACTCCCCTGCAGACTGGCCAGGTAGCAACGGCAACGGAACAGATCCATGTGAAAGCGCTCCAGGTTTTGTTCCCACAGGAAGATCTGAGGAAATACAAAGGATACAGAGACCGAAAACATATTGGTGATTATGCAACCTCCGTAGATAAGATGCAACTCACCAGCCTGGACCAAATTGATGCTGAAATATAAAGGGATCACTAGGAAAATTATGTAAACTTTATCTGACGGGTGCAAACTGGGAGCTTGCTCGGTATTTTGTTTTCAACTTTAATTTGGCTACAATACATTTCAATTGACAATGCATAACTCTCAGGGGGAAGGGTATAGGATCTGCATGAATCCATAGAAACAGAAAGCTAATACCACATTGATAAACTGATCTATTTATATGGATAATGTTCCCGACTGTGCACTATTATAGCTAAAGGAACAACATCTCCATGGAAACTGAAAAGCTAAAAATGCCTCTGGATCTGTCCTGGCTACTATTTCTAGGACAGTTCATTGCGGGTGAAATGAAGCCACACTGCAGCATTGTTCATATAGTATTCAAGACTCATGACAGTTCTTAAAATGGCTTGGAGCTTGTAGCTGCAACAACAAAGATTAATTTACATCTTCTAATGTTTTGTATGAAATTAAGCTACAGTGTTTTGTTGTGTTGCTAGTTTGTTTCCTGTTCACTACATATGATGGGTTCAAAAATTACTTTCCAAACCCATAGGTCACTGACAAGACTGAAGTGCTGTTGGCTGTAAAAAGTCTGGCACAAGAACCTGCGCCGGGAGAGAAAAACCCCCTCAGAGTGTTGTGGGTGGAGGGTCTGGGCAGTCATAGAAACATGTCCTTCTACTAGTAGTAGTAGTAGTAGTAGTAGTAGTAGTAGTAGTAGTAGTAGTATTTTTATTTGAGCAGTTTGACAATACACAATAACATGCACAAATAATTCAAAAAAAGAATTACAATGTGCATGTTGTAATTTTTCACATAATATGCCATTCAGATCCATAAAGTAAAGGTAAATAGGAGGATTTTCCCAAATTTGAGGAAAGAACCATCCTCTCCCTCACCCTTTTTTAAAGACTATGGTCTTGTTTGACGAGCACGTATCACCAGAATGATTGACAATTAGGAAGACCAATAGTCTTGATGATCCACCCAGACGTAAAATATCCTCCTATATACCTTTAATTGAATAAAATAAAAATGTGTTAGCCAGAGCTGTTGAGCAAAAGCATTTCAGTTGCATCTTTTTTCTCTAATATTTGATCTTGTAAATATGACACATTTTAAATAGAGCGTATTATATAAGGATGGATTACAGCTTGTTTCTAATGAGTGGTAAGATGTGGGAGTGTTGTTGAAGTATTGCTCACAAAAACACAGCCTCCACTGGTCACTGACCTGTGGAGATTTCTACAATGTCTCACACTGTGGGCTGTGGGAGCTGGACTAACAAACAGAACTGGACGATAACTGGACTTGAGCTAACAAAACACTGCAGCGGTTCATTTTATACCTGTTTATGTTTGGTATTCGTGGAACTCAAGTTAAATACATGTTGCACAGTTGTAAGCTTGTAATGAAACAGAAACAGGTGTTGAGGGCGGAGCAGTTTGTACCATTTAAGCTGCTATTACATCACTCTACAGGTGGGTCCACTGTTCGCTCAGGTCCGCCCTAATTCTGTTCTTTTGCCTGGAATGTTTGATAATATGGCATTAAATCTTCCATCTATACTGCAGACAAATAACTTCAGAAAGTCGCAAGTCAAATCTACAGAGGAGAGCTGAACTATTTCAGGTTTAGGATGTGTATTTACTCTACCAATAGATTCAGTTAATTTGCCATTTTCAGGAAAAAAACACAAATTGGTGTTTGCTGGTCTGGTGCAACCCCAGTGTGCACCAGACCAGCACAGCAGAGCTCTTGCTGAGGCACCATCTTGGATCTACATAATATATTTTATAATAAGTGTATAATTTGCCATTTGTCATATCAGTTGAAATTATGCGAGCAATTATGTCCAAGTAATTTTCCTTCTAAGTTTGTGTATGTCAGATTTGGTCTAAGTCAGATTTCAGGTTTTGATTGAAAAAAACTTCAAGAAAAACTGGAGCAAATCTATATACATGCATTTGTATATAAAGTACATACAATTCAGCTATATATACAAATGCATGTAACATCCTAAACTATACAAAATAATAACATTATTTTATTTTTGTGTTGGTTTGGTAACTTCGGCATGTTTTAGTTTAATTCATTGAGTCAAAATATACAACAACAAAACACAGAGACCTGCTCAGACACGCAGGTTATTATGTGAAAGCAAAATTCTCTCAGGCTGTGTTTAAGTGTGTACATACAAAAGGTACGTTATGTGATTTATGCACATCCAGACACGCACAGAATAAGTACAAGGCTTTACGCTTAAGGTTTTCCTCGAAGTGAACAAACCAGATCTTGAACCAGCGCTAACCAAAACTGTAATTAAAATGGCTGGAGTTTCCCGGCGTGTGCAAGCAAGGCATTGTTGACATTTTCTTTCTGTAGTTTTTAAATAATCACAAATGAGAGGAAACACTTCTATATTTGGAAACATCTGCGTAAGAACATTTTTATTGAGATGACGACATTCCCCATTCTTTATTCTTTTGAGTTGTTAAACTTTAAGGTGTGTTGTGCAGCTTTTCTGCTTCTGGCCATGAATTTTACTTTGTGGAACATACCTCAACACGTAGGATATACCAGTGGATTATTTAAATAGAGATGATTTCACTACACAAACAAATGAATTACTGATGTATTACATTTGGTTGGCTCTCCTCGTGCAGAATGACTTGTAACTAACTTGTCCAGACGAAACTTGTAAAACTTTCCAGGCAAAACAGCCGAATTTAGATGGACCTGAGCAAAGAGAGGACACTCCACTAAAAAGGGGGGTAAAGTATTAACTAAGGTTTGTTTGTTTGTTAGTTAGTTATCATCATAAATGTTTTAAGTAAACAAATTAATACATTTAGGAGGTGATCAGACGGCTGTTAATAAATGGTATTCTTGGGAGAGATCTGTGCTCGACGAGTGCATAGTTGTGACAATAATTTGGGGAATGGTTGAACTAGGTAAAACAATACCAACTCATATGAATATTCAGGCAGTGGTTAGCCCCTACAAAACACAGTTACATCTCTCCTTACTCTAAGATAAATTAAATTATTAGATTTTGCTTCAGACCTGCTCCAGAATGGTCTTCCTCTTCTTGGTGTCGGTGACGGTGGACAGCTGCATGTCTCCCATCTTCTTCATCTTCTCGTCCATGTCGATCTTCTGTTCCAGTTTGCGGATCTCTGTTCGCAGCAGCCGCACCGTGTCCTCTCTGTGATGCTGTCGGGCCAGAGCCGTGGCACAGGCCGAGTGGATCGCAGTGATCCAGTTTTCCAGTTCAGTCTGACTGGAAGTCTGCAAGAAGAGGAGGCATCTGTGTCATTCAAAGTAAACTATGTGTTACAGTGGTCCCTGGTTTACCGCTGGGTTATGTTCTAATAATAAACAGCAAGAAGTGGAATCCACAAAGTAGAAGCTACATGTTTTAAGGTTGTAAAACCCCTCACCACACACTTTCTACACTTTCCTAACCATCTGAACTCACAACTGCTGAAGTTGTAGGTCTGAGCACTGCTGCAGCTGTCAGAAGCCGTGCATATACTTTAAAATACAGCTGCAGAGGACACCGGGCTGAGGGCTACGGGAAGACCGTGGTAGACCTAATCACAGCAATGCACAAGTTTTTATGATTTTAATTAAAGCTGTCATGTTATACTAGCAGTTATATGATGTTGTATTTAAAATATGTTGTATAATCGCAAAAGAGAAGCACGCTGTAAAAACAGAAAAAAATCAACATTTTGCCCACGCCATTGTTGACATGGGCAAAACTGGAAACCTTAAAACCTTGAGTACTTAACTTTGAAATCTATTCATTTGGGCCCCTGTAATATCTTGAGATAAGCTTTTTCAAGGGAAAATAGAGAATCATGGCACTTACTCCACCAATCAGCTCTCAGAAAGAAGATAACATGTTTTCAAATAAGATAAAGACAGTATGTTGTGGTCTGATTTAATTCATGTTACTCAAACACTTTCTGTTGGGATCATCTATCTATGAAAAAATGGTTCTTATAAATCGTCTTTGGTTGTTATAGTCCTTAACATCGGTTCGTCATATATCATTTTGTATTTCTGTAGCTCTCAATACAATATCAACATAATGTGAAACTGAGAAAATACTATTCTATAAATAGGCACACCGCAAAATGAGATGTTCAGTTTTAATACCAGGCAGCTGATAAATGCATATGAAATTATTAGTTGTAATCTGCAGGAATGAGAACAGTGTCAGAAAACTGATTTGATGCATATGTCACGCGACCCCTCAGGGAAACCGCGGCCATTATAAAACATGTACGGGTGTATTGCTTATCTCCTGGTGCATTGATTGGACGTCACCGAGGACAGCTGTCGTGAATATAAACAGATATAATGAAACGTCACACAAGGAGCCCTGCTGTGGTTCAGTGTCAGCGCAGACAGCCTGGCCTTTAAATATGTCACACTCAAAACAAACACAGTATCTCCTGAATCTAACTCACACGGATAAATGTCAGGTACATGTGTCCGATCGCCGACAGTCCCCAGGGGAAATTAGAAAGCCCTTTGTTCTCATCACTCTTTGTCTTCGAGAAGCGTAATGGTCCATTGTACATTAATGCTCAGTAATAACACAGCCATAAAACCAATAGTTGGAATGATTTGTGTGCTGCCTTACCCCAAGTGGTTAACCAGCGTATGGATGTGTGGGAATGCATCAGTGGGTCTGTGCTGTAACGTTTTTGTTTTTTATTTCCATGGACGTAAAAGCTCTGTACAAATATTGCCATTTCTCACTTTTCCAGAGGCTTTGATACAGACAACAGAGAGCAATATATAGACTGAGCAATGTATCTGGCAAACATTAAAAGTTTTTGAAACATTGGATATTGGTCCTAGCGTCTTCCTGTCTGGCCAATTTTGTCATGTTTTAAACTTTGATATATTTTGTTACCTCCTCTGAGAACTCTTTTTAGTTCTCCTTTCTGTCCCATTGATTGTTATCCTTGCCCTAATGTCAATCTCTGTCTCCCTATGTTGCTGTACCCCGTGCTTTGGCCCACTTTCATTGTCCACGTCTGTTAGGGTAAAGGGTTGTTTTTAGTTCTGGAATTTTCTGTTTAATTCTTACCCTGGATTTCATTGGATTTTATTAAAATGATATTATCAATCCTGCATTTTGGGTTACTTAATAATTCATTTCCCCTCATGACAGATTTGCTGGTATGTTGAAGCTCATTCAAAGCTAACTTTCTGGATAACCACGTAAATATTAAATACAATATTTGTAATTCAGTCCTTAGTCCTCAGCCAAAATAACCACAAATTCCCTATAAAGCCTATTCCATAAATAGACATTAAAGACATTATGCAATGACCACTAAAAATGTTGTAATTGCTAAGTGGGTGGTATGTATATGCAGTCTTTAAAATTGGCCATTCACAGTCAAACCACAGAAAACCCAATCGGTCGATCCCTATTAGGTCGTGCAAAGGCTTTCTCCAAGCTACAACTGGATCTGTGTGAAAGGTGAAATTAGAATCAAAATATATCTATAAAGATGAAGTGTATCTTATCTTATCTGTAAAGCACAGTTGATACAATGCAATTAAAGGAATACATAGTTTGTTCAAATGCATACAACAATAAAAAACAAAGCAAGCATTTGATTTCAGTTTAAAAGCTTAGAATTTAAGTAAAAAGTTTGAAATATGGCTGAAAAAGAACTTAAAAATTGCAGCAGCCTCTTTGACCAGTCTGACTTTTACAGGAATGTTCCAGATTTCAGTTATTGAAACAATGAATCCAACTTCATTCCCATCGACTTTCGTTATTTTGATTTTATTATTCGGTTTTATGGGCAAATTCTCAATGTCCATCTCTAGTCCATCTCGGCTTATAGCTACAGCCCAACTTAGTTAAAAACACTAAACATGACATCATCAGCAAAACCTCCAGTCCAGCTTCATGTGAGCAGGAACACGGAGTGACAAGACAGAGGACGTTATGTAAGTGAGATGTTTTGAATAGCAGCAGCTCTCACCTGGAAGAGGAATGCGTCTCCAATGGAGTTACTGAGGCAGAAGACAAAGTCCTTCTTGGGATGCTCGGGCACAGCCTGCACGATGCTGTTCTCCACCCACAGAGCGTGTTTGGGAGTGCTGTTGTGATCAATCCCAGATCGACCGTCCGTATCATAAAGGTACAGTGTGCCACCTTGAGAGGGATGAACAAATATTGATAATGTAAGTTTAAAAATCAATACACTAATCTATCATGCTGCATATTCTTTCGAAACAGAAGAGAGAGGAGTCAGGGAGTCCACAATAATAGGGAGATTTTTCAGGTCACGATAATTGCATGAACCAAAAAACATCTTTAAAAGCAAATTGCATTTCTTATTCTCAAAGTGCTTTTTATCCGAGTCACATAATCATTCTGAATATTTAATTTCATGAAGATAGTGCGTAACATTTCCCATTTTCATTTATGTGTGGAATTGTTTTTTCTTTCTTTCCATTAGCAAATCTTATTTTCAAGCAATCATTTTTGCTATGTAGCAAAAGGAAATGTCTGACAAAAATAAAAGAACAATGAGTTTCTCACTTATGTTCAGTTGAAGCCGGGGAACCTTTTTCATAGATAATACATTTTGTTTGAGCAAAGGAAATCACATCAAACCACAACATGCTGTGCTTTTTATTAGAAGATGTTCTCTTTCATGCATACGTGTAAGAAAGAGCTCTGAGAATCACTATTCGGGCTCAGAGCTGATCTGATGATCCTCTATTTTTCACTTTTCTGTCAGAAAAACGTGATCTCAAAATGTGATAGAGGCCAACAAATACATGTATTTACTTATTTTGTTTATTTTATTTGGACGCCACAGTTACATTGGACAGACCAGACGCACTGCCTCTAGTGTTATAGCAAGACCATGATAATTTTCAATACTTGTCCATAGGAGGCTTTTAGAACATATATTCAGCCAGTTTCAGACGTCTGATGTTTAAGTCTATGTATGTTTGTGAACACAAGAGACAGCACCAACATTGTCAGAGTCAGGAACTAGTGAAGTGCACTTTATTCTATTTTTTTGTGGTTACTCAGCTTTAAGTCTCAATAATAGCGATTCATTGTTGAACCGTGAGTTCTTTTGTAATCGGGACATCCCAAGAGGAGAGCTACGACCTTAACATTGAACACAATTCCTCAAAAATGACAACGCCCGGTTGGAAAGAAAACATCAGGGGTCAGGTGGACAGTGCTGTTATTTATCCAGGGACAGCTGAGGTGACGGACAGGAATGCGGCTGCAGATGTACTTTCTCATGCATTTGAAGGGGACCAGATTGAATTACACACGAGTGGAGCTGTAAAATCAAATTGTGGGAGGAAGAGACGGGCGAAACGCTGAGGCCACACACGAGAAGGAAACAGGGAAAGTGGAGGTGAGAACCAAGGGCGCAGACTGTGGTTCCGCTGATGTGATTAGAGCCAGACACCAGCGCGAGACACAGATTTAACAGCAGAGGCCAAGGTGACGACATTAATCTAAGAGTAACAAGCGGGCAGCAAAATGGCACAGTAGGCCTGTTTTATGGAGGGCATTAGTAAATTACATGTTTTTACAGACAAGTAAGGAATCTCTTTTATAACGTAAAGAGAAAGCTGTGGTTTTTTTTATGTCTGAATAGAATAGTGAGGATGCTTGTCTAAAGTACACACTCAGTAATTGAGTAAATGACAGATAAAAACCCCAAATATTTTACCAAATGGTTTTAAAATTGAGACTTGTCAAATTCTCCATACAGAAATCATCTAAAAATATGGACAACATCCCAGGCAGGAGTTGGACTAAGTTGCTTTTGTGAGTCAAACTAATCACTGAACAAGAAAATACATAAAAACAAGTAAAAATAAAAATCTAATCAAAAGAAATAAAAATAAAAAATGCTGCCCCAATACCTACCTTTGAAACCGTTCCTACTTCGACTTTACCTACATATAAACTGAGTCCCAATAATCTCAGAAATAATGTCAGAAAAAGTAGGTTTGAACTATTAATATGATGTAGTATGAATAATATAAATAAATTACCTCTCAATGAAACCCAATAGCGCTTCCATTTGCGCCGCGTGGCCGTCTCCACCTTTTTGTTCTTCTTATGCACCAGAAAGTTCTTGACCGACAGCGTTCCAGCCTTCCGGACGGTGCCTTGAGCCGCGCCCACCGCAGGGTCTGAGGGGAACGCGCTGCTGAGGGTCCCACTGCTCTGCTCATCGCTCACCGCCGAGCCCCCCTCCTCCGTGCCGTCTTTGCCCAAATGAGTCTGACGCCACACAGAAAATCAAGGTTAAAGACATAACTTAAAACGCTCAAAGTTTTAGAGTACTGATGTATGCTCTTATTCAATTAAAACTTATATAACAATGAAAACTCATATAACATGAAAAATATGTATAACCAGGGTATGAGTTAACTGTACAATCCAAAATAATAAAGAACTGGTTTATTATGCACATACTGAGATACTGAAAGCTCCATAATTATGTTTTTCCTAGAAATTTTGAGTGTCGGGATTATTTGGCATTGTTAAGAAGAAGGTCCTTTATTAGTCCCACAATGGGGAAATTTCAGTTTGATACACATGCATATACATATCAAGGCAAGCAGCGAAAATCACTTCCACGCTCCTTATCGGGGGTTAAGTGGGTTAAGTTGCCCAAGGACACAACGACAGCAGTGGTGGAGATGGTCTCGTGGTGGGCTCGAACTCATGACCTTCGGGCCCAAAGGCCAATGCTCCATCAACTGAGCTTCTGTCGCACTCAAACTTCCTTTCTATGATTGGTTTAAAAACATGTAAAGACTTAGCAGCCAATAAAAAACTTAGATTTTACCTCTCTTAATATTCAATACAAATAAAGGAGTGGTTTATACGGCACATTTCAAAATATTAAAAGCTATCTTCTTTCCATTTGTATGTCCTTCCTACATATGCAAGCTACTTTGACATCTTAATATTAAAACCAAGTCCCGGTAAATAGAAAGAAATAAAGAAATCTTCAAAAAAATACAATCTTTAATCTTTGCTCTCAGACGGGGCATCCACATTCAGAATTAGTTTAAAGTGACTCTAAGAACAAAACCAATCTTAAACTTAATAGCTGTAACATGAACGGACGCATTTGATTGAACTTACCCATGCTTGATTGTCCAGCTCTTTGCGGTAGTTCTCGTAGACGCCTCCTCTCCCCCCCTCGCCCCCCCTCCCCTCGCCTCCCCCCGCGCTGCTGCTGCCGCTGTCGCTGCCGTTGAAGATGCAGCTGTCGGCGGCCGAGTACACGGAGAAGGAGGTGGACATGGCCTTACAGCGCCGAGACAGGAGCTCCGCCTCTCCGTCCATCTCCGCGGCAACGCCATCGATCCCACTGTCGCCATATTCGCTGCCTTCACCGAGGACGCCGGAGATGTCCTGGAAACAAATTTAATGGGTCATTTATTGTACAGATTATTAATACATACCGTAATGGTACGTTAAGACAATATTGATTATGTAGTGAAACAAAGTATGATTATTGAAATACTTCATGACCATTCACAGAAACTATTCACTTTTGTTAAAACATTTGTCTGTAAAAGTTCCACAGCTGACCTCAAAAGTACCACTGCTGTGAGTTGTACGGTATTAAAGCTGGGGTGCCTAACTTTAAAAACACACAAAAATGGAACAACGCAATAAAATCCATTTAACTATTTCGCTTCCTTCATAACTTTGTTACATTCATGTATTTTGACCTTTTTTACATCTTTAGTTTGGTTTTATTTCCGACAGGAGAGTGAAAACGAGAGGACCATCCTCACTTAGCCAATCAGATCTCAGCCCAAAGAGTCTGTACACAGTGACTCAGTATACAAAACTGTGTAAATGTGGTGTACGTATATGAAGTAAAATAAGTTAAAGGATCATGCAACAACTTACCCCATTCTTATACAATAGATTAATAATATACCGATTCCCCCTTTTTATAATAATGTGATTGTATGATTGTCTAAGTAACATTGTGGTTCAATTTGTTAAATGAAAAAAATGAATAGGACATTCAAGTACAAACTCTCCGGATAAGTGTTGGATGTTCCCATTAATCTAACATAATCTTTCATGTTTTCTTATAAACAAACTTTTGAAATACTGTTTCTAACACTTCCTCTAATACTTCCACCGCTACAGAGGACGGAAACATCTCTCTTTCTAAATGCTTCTTTATGTTTTAGCACTTTTCTTTGTTGTGATGTTTATTTTTATTCCATCAAACAACTCCCACTGGTCGGCAGGATAAATTTATAATAAGCACTTAGGAGGAATCGTCGTCCGAGGGAGCTGGGAGAGAGAGGTAGAAAGAAAATCCTGCTCTTTTTGAACCATTTTTCTTTTGCTATTGCATAAATAAAACAAAAGACAGCTAAAGATTTTAATCCTCTGCAACTCAGACCACTTCAAGGCTCAGCAGATGCATTGTAAAAGGTTTCTCTGACCTTCTAAGGGAATCCCTCCCTCGACCACTCTCAGAACTGAAGCTATAACAAATGGATGCAGAGTGAGACAGCGAGAGGAAAGCGGGTCAGACCACACACCGCAAACTCTCTGGAACTCATTAGTTTGTGTTTCTGGTTTGGGTCAAGACAATGAACTTTGAACTTCAAGTACCCTATAGTGTCATCACTCTTACAGGAACTTAAAAAAAGAAAAAAACTGGCTCTGTTTTAGGGGACAGGCAAAACTGGAAATAATTATAAACACTTTGGGGGTGGCCATAGGAAGAGCCAGGAGTGCCCCAAGTCTGAACTCAGAATAGTTTATTTACATGTTACTAATCCTTGTTCCTGTTTACTATCCGAGCAGTTAATGTAGCCAATTACAAGGTTTTGAAGTAAATATAACATCTACATCTATTATTTAATCCTAGCCATAACACTTCTATCCCATTTCTGTAAGCAGGTATACAAAAATAAATAAAACATTACATAGTTATTAGTATTTCTTGTCGCAAGGAGCTCAAAATACTAAAGTTTAAAGCATGCAATTAGTGACTTCTATTTCTCAAACTTGAGCGCTGATGTTGTAATCGTTACATTTGTTTGATATCTTGTGCTAACTAAGCGCTAACTGAGAGCCTTTTGGGTATTTATTTCCACATGAAAGGCACTTCTTACCAATTACAAGAAAAATTACAAGCTCAGCCACCCAGCGCAGGTATAAGATTGTTTTTCTCCTTCACAACATTCACATCCTAAAGCTTTGCATATTTGTGAATGTATACAGTTGTGCTCATAAGTTTACATACCCTGGAAGAATGTATGATTTTTCTGGCATTTTCAGAAAATATGATTTTAATATGGTATTAGAGGTTGGATGAAGCCATTTATTTTCAAGGTTGGTCACTTTTACTCATTCAAACCGGTGTGAGCCAAAGTGTGAGCCGATATACATTATATACAGTATAGGGCTTTGAGGGTTCTTCAATTTCAATGTATTTTTGTATTGCCCTGAATCACAACGGGAGTTATCTGTGAGGACTAGAAGGTTGTCGATTCACCAACACAGATCAGAGAATCAAACAGTTCAAACACAGGAAGTGAATTGATAAAACAAATGGAGCCATTGGTCCATAAGCGGCAGATGACCAATGTTAATATAGATGTTCATAAATAGTTCATAAATGTTGTTCAATGTACTGGATCATCATCACTTCTAATAAGACAAGAGTGTGAAGAAGCTAGTACTACTCCTTAGTTACATATACACACAGTACCATGTTCTATCCCCCTTTATCACAATTATTCATACAAACTAAAAACTCTCACCTGCGTGGTCTGTGCTCTCCGGCCTTGAAAAGCAGGACAGGGCGGTGCAGGCATCCCGAGCCCCGAGAGGCCCTCTGACAGGCAGTGGGACCTCCGGCAGGGCAGCGTAAAGGCCCCGTAGTCGTCTGTGGGAGACATGAGCCCCTCCTCCCCCTCCTCTTCATCACCGTCACAGTATGGCTCGCTGCGGTTTTTGGTGAAGCGTTTCCTCGGCCCCCTGAGGCCTGGACTCTGCTGGCCGCACAGATGGTCCAAAGACGATGCCCTTTCCGTCGATCCTTCACAAGCAGGTGGTAAACGCAAGAGAGTTATGCATAATACGGCGAGTAAAAGGAAATGGATATTACGTTACATTCCAATTACAGTTTTAATGCACGCTTTGTCACGTTTATGCTCATTAACCTTGCATGAAAATACAACTCTTTAATAATGTGATTTATTCTACACTCCAGGCCTGTGCTGTACACAGAGTGGGTTGGCGGACCACATGCAGCGAACACTTTAATGTCGACTTTTTGGAGCTAAAGCAGCCACAGCCTCCTGTTAGTTTCCTGCTGCTCCTGCCAGAATCTAAACCTGTGAAGAATTAAGTACAGCCAAAAAGGGAAGCTCTGTAAGATATGATATTTGCATACTTACTTATGGTCAATATGCACTGTCTGTGTTACAAATAAATAAATGCAAGTTCAAGACAATATCCCTTTTAGTGACAGTTCTGAAGCAGTTAAGGGTAGCGATAAGCATCAAAATAAGGTAATTACATTTCATTATAATAAGGTGATTAGGGTAATATACTGTATAGTATGGTAATATACTTTTATTGTAAGAAAACTACTTAAGATAGAATTACCTGATGTCAAATAACAACACGATTATCAATGTCAACAGTATCCTTTGTTTTCTTACATTAATGAACTAAAAAAAAGTCCATCCTTGAATATAAAGGCTACAGAATTTTATTGGCTCCATTTTTATTGGATTTAAAATCTAATTTTTGAGAGCTTTATATTTACCTACTGTTCTTGAACTATGTATTACAACCCTGGCCTTCAAAATACAGATTTACATGCATCTAATTTTAATATGTACCACATCAATGTCATTTCACCTCCGTTTCCACGGCCTCCACCCTTCTCACCTGAGCTCCCTCTGGGATGAGTGAACTCCTCCTCTTCCTCCCCTGCGTCGATGATCTCCTCAGTACTGGTCAGATGGCTCAAGTCGGAGAGAGAAAACTCCAGACTGTCCTCCCTCCACATGTCCGCTGACTTTGACCGCTTCTTCTTAAAGCTGCTGCCGTCCTGCACGCCGTCACTCATCCTCAGCATGTACCTCTCGTCCGCTCCGTCCTCTCCCATCGAATCTTCTCCTCCTTCTGCTGCGACCGTATCGGCTTCCGACGTCTCTGGAGTGGGTGTCGCGAGATTATCGTCATCGTGTTGAAACGAAGACTCTGGCCTCAGCGTCATGGCCATACGCTGCGTCCAATGAGGGTTGATTCCGAAGTCTCCAAATCCATCTGGAGCGTCGAAGGGGTCGATTCCATTCTCCGCTAAGGATTGTGGGATGCTGGGCGTGCTGGAGGAGCGCGTCGAGGCCTCGGAGTTGCGGTGTTCCTGTTTGACGGAGGAGGAGAGTCTGGATCGGCGAGTGATGGTCGGTTGTTTGGCGCCGAGACGAAGGGAGCGGGACGTGTGTTTGCGGGAAATGTGGCCTGAGGCATCCCGGAACAGCTCACCGTTCTGGCTCTCCACGTTTCCCATGATTCAACTTCAAAACACGTAAATAACAAAAAACACAGGCATATTTAAACGGATGCCAGTTACTTTTAAAAAAATTTGAAGGGAGAGAGTGAAACTTTTTGAAGCCTCCCACACAGGCTCCTGATTGGTCAGAATTACTTGAAATCGTTGATGCCCCTCGTCATTGGTTTAACTTTTCTCCTCCAGTCAATCTGGTCGTAGTAATGCTAAATGTGAACAACTATCTTAAATAATGTATTGTTGAAAGTACTTACTGCACATAATAGTAGAGCGCCCCATGGTCAGAAATATATAGTTATAGTTATAAAGTTAAGTTGTTAATATTTGAAAAGAGTTCGAGAGACCCCTTCACCACCCTAATGTACCTCACCATTTTCTGGATCACTTTAACCAGGAGTGTCAAACTCAATTTTAAAAACATAAGAGCTGGTTGGGACCAAAAGTACTTGTTTGCTTATAAAACGTTAAAAAAATTGTGAGTTTCAACAATTATTTCAACTAGGCCACAATTTTTTTCCCAAATTTTAGGAAAGAACCGCCCTCTCCACATTTGATGAGCATGTAACACCAAAATGATTGACATTTGGGAGGACCAATAGTCTTGATGATTCACCCGGTGGTAGATAATCCTTCTATATGCCTTTAACTTTTAATTGTATGTTAATTAACGTTTTAGAACGAATGTAACTATATGGTTGCTTTCCTGAATAAAAGCTTTAAAATTAAGTGTTACATGCCAGAGTATTCCTTTACCATCACTGCTGCAAGTTACTGTGATAATTGCAAAACACTTCAGGGGCCAATAAAATAGTCTCGCAGGCCGAATTTGGTCCACGGGCCTGAGTTTGACACCCCTGGCTTTATTTAACAGAGTTGTTCACTCCTTGTATCTGTTAATAATGTCCATCACTTACCGCATTGTTTTATTGTTAGACCTATCAGATTCAGATTCATTTATTTGCCATTTGCAGTAAAACCACATTGGAAAAACTAAATAAATACAAAGACAAATACAAATACAAATACTATTTTTTGAGAGTTAACAGCAAGAGATCAGAGTATGGGCGACTATTTCCCCGCCATTTCTCCACTGCCTGCACTTTTACCCCACAATAATGTAGAGAAATGCAAGCTAGGGTTAAGAAGTTATTAATGAACACGACAACAAACAAGCACCGACACCAACAACTCCGGGACAGTGAACCTGCTCCACAACAGAGACATTATAATTGGTTTTATTCACACCTTTGATGAAGTTGCAGCATCATCCGTGTCACCACATCAGTGCGGGAGAGTATTCTGTGTCTTGTACCATGCACTCATCCTCAAACAGCGGCGTCAGCTCTGAAGGGAACAAGAAAAGAAGAGTGTTTTCATTGTTGCTCGCGTAACTTCAAAGTGACCTTGTGGATGAAGAAGAGAACAGTGCAGAAAAGTGGATTAAACGAAGGGGAAGGAATAAGCAACTGCGATTGTGCTTTGATGTTGAAGGAAAATAGTGTATTTACCGGTCCGTGTTTTAGGTTGCAACTCAACAAAACAGGTAAATAAACGCACACAAACCTACAGATCATTCATATCCAGCGACTGTTAAAGCCTTGGGGGAAATTCTCAAAAACATGGCCATTGCTTTGAACTGCACCCTGAAACTCAATGCCAACCTGAAATCATCCAGGCGTGTACAGACTTGAAGCATCTGGGATACACCCCTGCTTTTTTTTTCTCCTCTGCAGACTGAGAAACGCTCACACACACACTATAATGCTACGAATGCTGTGAATGACAGCAGATGAAAGACGCTGTGAAGTGTGATTTTCTGCTGAAAACTCAATTAAATGATTCCCACCAACACGACCTAATTTCCTCTAATACCAGCCTCGAGCCGCTTAGGATAGACCTCCATCTCCATAATGTGCCATAGTGCGCTGGAATGGTGTGATTCTATGATTTGAATGCCTTGTGTGACTGTATCTTGTTTGGTTCAGCACTTTGAGTTGCCTTTTGTATGAATTGTGCGATACAATTAAACTTGCCTTGCCATTGCTCAGGAAGTGTACTGTACTGTTTCGGATGTTTTATATGGCAAATAGTAATCTTGAAACATAGTAGTCATGTTTTGTTGATGGTGAAAAAGGTCTGTCACAATATCAACCATGTCGACAAATCATTCCACAATGAAGGATGAAACAGGTTTTTGTCATTTTGAGATTCAATTCTTACTGTAAGCAAACAAGCATTGTTTTTTTGAAGAAATAGTACCATACATGGGACATTTATGGACATTTATGGACATTATCGGACGATAATGTCCATATGGCTTCTATGTGTTTGTTATTATTGCCTTTCTGTAATTCTGTGATCTATTGTTGGCAAATAAACAACTAAAGTCCTCCAAAAAAACTGAAAAAGAGAGATAGCATTTATTTGTTTTCATAATTATACAGCTCAGAGAGTAAAAGGCATTTGTCACTTTGAATCTAATGGCTATATCATATATTTGTTTCACATTGGATGTTGAATTAGAGAAATACATTTTCCGAATAGCTGGAAGAAAAACATGTAATACATTTGTTTATCTGACTGACTACAGACAAACATTAACAACATGTTTTACTGTGTTGGAAATATCATTACTTTGTCTCTTATTTATCTTTCGTCAAAAAGATTTAAATCAGGGGAAATTCATGCTTGTATCTTTGGCAAAACTGTTTATCTCTTCTTGAAAATGACAACCAATACAGTGAGATCTAGAACTTAATAAATATAAAAAATATAGATAGAATATTATCCTTCTTTTTTGTGATTTGTATGTGTAACCATTCATGGACCATTCATTTGTGTCCTGTATAAAGTATGGCACCTGGACAGCTTTAAAGCGTTTTCTCACATGCATTATAATACAGTTTTAATTTGTAAGTCCCAATGGTTGTATCGTTCTGAAACCCATGGTTATAAAAAAGGCTAAAAACCTTACAATGCATTTAAAATAATCATCTGAAAACCTAAATGTCTCTATGTGTGATCTCAGTCGCAGCTGTGGTGAGACGCAGTTACATAAAACAGGCCCTTGACCCTGATATGTCTTGCTGCTCTTCTCATGCCTCCTCCGTCCCATCCGGCCTCATGAATCTCATCATAACCACACAATCTGCCCCCAGCCCCCAAAGCAAACATCACATAACACACACAATATTAGCGCACTGAGGCTGTGCGTTTGCTTTGGACCCAGGCCCACTCTTCCAGACTACATATTAATTTTAAAGAAAGGAGCAGATTCACACAGTCCTGCAGAGAATTACAGAGCTTCCAGATCTGTTTTTGAGAGGCCAAGAGTTACTATAGTGGTTTGAAACATGCAATAATAATGGATTACTTTGTACTTAAGGCACACTGGGTTTATACACGAACAATACACTCTGGAATTGGGACTAAACATAGACTTGAACAAGCCTCACACCAAAATAACAATAATGTGGCTGTATCCTGCAGGTGTTACAATCAATCAAACCTTGGTAAAAATGTGCTCTTGGAAAAGTTACGAACAATCCAAATACTCCTAAATCAAATGTGAGCTGATCTTATTTAACATGGCCAAATATAATATAATATGTGTGATATACAATATTTGTATCAAGGACCGATTTATATTGCAATATTACTCATCCTTAAATATATATACTGTATCACTATGCATCTTGGAACTGCTTGTTGCTGCTCATGTTTTATTCTGTGGGCTCGAGCATCAAAAGTTTATGCATTTAAAAAAAATAGCTTGATTTATGTTAGGGATGCACTGAAGGCATTATGCATTCTTCTTTTTTTTTTATCTTGTACCGGTGTGATTATATTGGTTCAGTCAATATCTTGAGGAGGCCTTTATTTTGATTTGCTGATTTTACCTCAGAATGTCATATACACCAACAGTAGTTCTGTCGTTACTGGGTCAACAACTAGTTTAAAAAACTAACAGACTGATATGTAACAAGGTTGTTGATGTCTGAGGCACTGGTACTGGTACTGGTTATTATCAGGTATCGGCAGGTATTGAAGCAAAAAGATTGGGATCGGTAACAGACTTGTAAAGCTGGACTGATGCATCCTTAATTCAAACCTAGAATCATTGCACATATTTGCAGTATCCATATTGCACTTAAAAATATGATGTTTTAGCTATCTTGTGCAGCTCTCGTAACCACTAAAATATTTCTAAATCAATACTCAAAAACCTAAAGTTGCCAAGACAAAAATCATCAATCAATCAATTGACACTAGTCTTTCATACTTCCTCTCATTCATCTGGTGCCTGATGGTGCATTTATGTTGTTGTAAAAGAAAAAATCACCCAAATAAACAAGACAGCCTTGTATGACACAACACATGGGAAATCCAAACACTTCTTTTCTCCCTCTGGCAGTGTACAGTCGAAAACGTTTAGTCTCTTCGTTTTCAGTTCCTGGAGCCCTGCAGCAAGGTGGGTGAGGGGGAAGGGAACTTTGGGGTGAGGAAAGACTACTGCTGAGGTCAGTGCAAACATACAAAGAGGAGCACAAATAGACTGGGCTAAGAATAGAAAGGAGAGAATGTGCAGACCAAAACAAAGAGAGATGGTCTGTAAGCGGTAATTTCTTCATCCAATGTTTTGATTATGAAAAATATTAAAAGTGTGCAATTAGAGGTGAACGATAATGACCAACCTTGATTGCGTTTTCTTAGTAACAATAATAATATTTAGACTTTTTTTGTAATTTATCATTCAGCATTCCAGTATACAGTCTTGGTTGAGATTCAAGTATTGCACAATAATGAAATTACAGTAAGAATAACCGCTGATATCATGTAACACAATGTGCTTGCCAAAATTACAGCTACGTGTCAGATCTACAAGAATCGTCAGATCTGTCATCACCTTAGTAACCAAATATCAATAAAAATCCACATAATTTTCTGTATACTGCCCAGCTCTATGCAAAATCAAAGCCATTTTAACGAGATCCATCCTC